CGCCAAAGGGGCGCTGGGCACGCGATCTTGGCCCAGTGGCCGAGCTGGACCCACTGGGGCGACCTGGGTAGCCCTAAGTACTTTCTGGGTTCCTGTGGATGTGAGAGTGAGATTCCCATCCCTGGAGGTGTGCAAATGGAGCTTGTGCCGGAATGGCTCGGGCTGGTGAAGGGGCACTCCTCTAGACGCATGCCTCCTCCCAGCCTGGGGACCTGCTTTTCAGCGGCGTCCCAGACGCGGATGTCGGGCTGTGTGCTCACAGAGGTAGCACGGGAGTGGTATAGGGCCCCCTATTCATCACAGGCACAAAGCGCAGCAGGTCTCTGGCGGGTGTCAGCCTCCAGGTGTGTGGCCTGAGCGAGTGCACGTCCCAGGTGCGCGGTGGTGGAGGACAGAGAGTTGCTGGGAGGGCAGCAGCTGCACCGAGGAAAGGCGGGGCCACCACCTGCGAGCTGCAAGTTGGGAGCCAGGATGCAATATGCCTGTGAGAGCAGCAGGGAGTGTGATGTGAGTGAAGTGGGAGTGGGTGGTGGACGCCTTCAGAGAACAAGAGGGTGGGGGGAGAGGGAAGAAAGAAGTCGATTGGGAGAGAGCAGAGTGTGAGGAAAGGCCGGCAGTCTCTGTGTGTAACAGACTGTGTGTGCAGAAAGCCATACTTTCAAGCGGGGCTTCCAGAGACCATCATTCAGAAGGGGGACGAATAGCCAGGGAGCATCTCAGTCACCGGGAGTGGCCAGGCAGGGCCTGGGGACAGAGCCTGGACAACTCAGGCCAGGTCTACCCACATCTGAGACATCCAGCCAGGTGCAGGAGTTCTGTGGGGAGGGTCTGGACAGTCAGGGAATCATGGGACTGACCCTGTGGAAGGGAGTTCTAACTGGGCTGGACTGCCCTGACCAGCCCTTCCCCTGGAGCAGAAGGGCTTAGATGGAGGGAGACCAGCTCAGTTCTGTCCCCATGCCCTGCTTCTTTCCAGCCCCGACTCATCCTCTAGACTTTGGGACAGTCAGGAATCATGAGGGTAGGGATTACACATATAGGTTTAGGAATTGGAGAGATCTGGCTTTAAACCTTCATAGGGGGGTACTCCTGTGCCTCAGAACCCCATCCTCTGTCTTGTCAGGGGTAGATGGGAAATAACAGTGCACAGTACTGGACACTGAGGATTAACGTGGTGATGCATTTAGAGGGCTCAGCTGGGCACACTGGAGACACTCCATCACCTGCAGCTGCCACTTTGACTTGAGTGCAAGATCAGCTGGGGCTGGGTCTGAACTGGACTGTTGCCTGTCATTCTGCAGATATGCAGGGAGCATTTGGGGTCGCCTCCAATGTGTTTATCCCAGACTGCTGTCCCGCAGGGCCAGGAAAGCTCTGTAAATATTTATGCATCCCAGTTCACAACTTTCAGGATTGATGAAAGTCCTGCAGCCCAGTGGGAGGGATGCTGGAGCCAGTAAGGGGAGGAGCGGTTTAAGGGGAGGGTGAAGAGGGGAAGATTTTACCACAGCCTGGAAGAAATATGAACATGCCTGCTAACTGGCTACGTGACTTGGGTGGCTTGTGTGACATCTCTGAACCTCAGAAGGGCTGATGCTGCTTAGAAAAAGTAGATGAAGCGCTTCTGTCTTCCTCACACTTGATGAAGGCGTCCCCCAGGCTGCCTCCTGCTTACAGCAGAAGGCATAACTATGATTAATTATCCTTTTGGGGCCAACAGCAAACTCAGGCCCAGAGACAGACAGAACTAGGCTAGCCTTACCAGTAGTTTCCTAGTTGGGGGTCTTCCCTTATATCTCCTCTGTTAGGTGTCTCTTATTTTCTAGATTGGAGATTCACCCAGAGTACTGACCCAAGGAGACAAAAATTTCTCAAGAATGTTTGAGGCTGGTTTGGTGTCTACCAGAGGAGGGCAGTATGAGTGAGCTGGGTACCCACCACAGGGCAGTTGGGGGTGGGGGTGAGTCGAAGGGGTGGTGGGATTGTACTGGAATCACTTCTTAGGAATTTGGTTTTGGAGATAGGCCAAGAATTGGAAGGGGGGTGGAGTTCTGAGTGGGGAGACATAAGTCCCACACTTATGTCTAGGTCTAGTTTTTTTCTGACTTGCTGTTTGATCCTGGGCAAAGTCCTGACTCCCTGGGTTCTATTTCTTTTAGGAAATGGGTGATGCCTGTCCACTGACCTATCTGGGCTGTAGATGAGGCCATTGTGGTCTGTGCCTTACACTCTGCCTCAATGAGTCCTAGCAGCCCTGGGAGGACCAACACACCCTCTCTTAGTGATCAGCAAGCTGCTTTGTGCCAGACCTTGCAGTTAGGGCACTTGGCCCAGACCAGAAAAGACTCAGAAAGATGAAGTGCAGGAGGTCATCCAGCAGGGAGCATGTGTCCCACAAGTAAATGGGGAAACTGAGGCCAAGAGCTGTTAAATGATGGGCTCCACTAAAAAAGGTCTCACTGGTTGGTGCCTCCTGCTCATTCTCCACCACCAGTGAATGTGACAGGGACTGGGAATAATAGGGGTGGGTTGTGAGCACAGATGATCTGCTACCTACCAGCCTTTATCTAGGTAAGTTACCTAACTCATCCAAGAAATATGGTTGATGATGGTGGAATTGGTAAGAGGTCACGTGACATCTGAGGTTTAGAGCATGTCTGCGGAACTGTTGGCAGGGTCTGAGTCTAAATACAAAAGAACAGCAACAGTGATAAGGACTTATTAATAGTAACAGCTGTGGGTAGTACAATGGGTTAAAGCACAGCATATGAGGCAGTCTACAGCCACTGCCGCACGAGTTCAATTCGCAGTTAGAGAAGTGACCCACATGGCACAGCAGACCTCTCTTGGCCTGTCCACTTCTCCTCTCAGCAGTATACTTCAGTCAATCTGCCTGCTCTGCTCCCCTCTGAATGTGGTGAATCCTCTCACCCCCCACACCTCTGGCCTATACTCCAGCTCTTATATACATAAATAAACAAATTTTTTTTAAAATGTAAGTTTTATGGTCCCTTCCTAGTGGTGCAACAGGTTAGGATGCAGCACTGCAAGCTAGCTGCAGTCGTTTCAGTGTGAGTTCGATCCTTGGCCTTAGAGGTGACCCGCGTGGTGTGGCAGACCTTTCCTGACCCGCCCGCTGCTCCCCTCAGCAGTGTATTTCGTCAATCTGCCTGTTCTGCTCCTCACTCTGTCTCTGGTGAATCCTTTCACTACCCCTGCACCTCTGGCCTATACCCCAGTTCTGTATGCATAAATAAATCTTTTTTTTTTTTTTTTAAAGATAAGTGCTATAGCAGCTGAAAACCACAGCCCAAACAGGCTACACTCTGCCAGGTAACTACCATTCACTTAGCAAATTCTGAAGCAGAGACTGGCCCAGAGCCTACACCCCAAGTAGCTCCACAGCCCCTAAGCATCCAGAAATTCTAGGTGTTTAAAAGACCCCTTCATAGAAAGAAAAGGAAAAATACCAATGGTTTCACTCATAGCAGGTGAATGAGGGACCAGGGGAGAAAATAATAAGAATAGTGAACAACAATATATCAGAGACATTTTACGGGGGGGTGGAGTGGGGAATGGGATCAAAAATGGCGAGGGGCGGCGGTGGGGGGAAGTGCACTGGACTATGGTGATGGCACACCTGTGAATTGGTGGTGGGAAGCCCATAGGGATTACAACTTATGGGAAAAGGCACAAAATTATGTAAAAATAAACTACTGTTATTTTAAAAAATACAAAATAAAAAAATAGATAATGTCTTAATGGGATGTTCTTGGGGATTAAGTCTTGGTGCTCTGGAGGGTTGAGTTCTTGATGACTCTGCAATCAGGATCTGGGGGAGGTGGGGTACTGGGAAGCTGAACAGAGTCCTGGGGCCTGAGAGAGCTGCCAGAGGTTGAAAGGAGAGCCCCATAACCCAGCTCCCACCACAGATATGGCAGCAGGGAGGTCATAGTTGCCTTGACCAGACACACACTGAATCTCAACAAATAGTACAGCTCCATGCCAAATAGTGTGTGTCTTAAACCAGGCCTTTGCCTGTGACCTGATGTTGGGGACCTCATTCACCCCTACCATGCCCTTCCCAAGTGACCCCAAAGGACCTTTCAACCTCTCTGAGCTTTTTTTTTTTTTTTTTTAAATGCAATAACTGTGACCTCTGGTCTTGGGACTTGCAGAAGATGGGTGATCTGAGTCAAAATTCCCATCTGTGGTCCTGGGACTCTGGCAGGGTGGGACGAGGCATCTGGAAAGGATAGGCACACCACATCCAGCTCCACTGTGTGCCCAGCTCAGTGGGATGTGAGCAAGACTGCCTTCCCCCCAAATCATACTTTACACATATCACCTTGATTCTTTCTCTGATAGACATTGTTGGGAGACATATCTGCATTTGTCAGGTGAGCAAAGCAAAGCAGGGTTGCTGCAGCCCTTCCACTCCAATCACATAATTGGAGAGGGCAAGTGGTGGGGGCCCATAAAGAAGGGAAGCGGAAAGGTATGTGCAAGGCGGGGCAGAGTGAGGACAGTGAGTAGAGGATGAGGGAGCAGGAGGGGACTGTCTGGCCTTTCCTTGTAAAGTTTCAGACAGGGTGTGTGTGTGTGCGTGCGTGTGTGTGTGTGCAGGCGTGCACGTGTGCATGTGCAGGATCAATCAGTGCAGTACCATTCAGAATTCACCAGCCCCAGTGTCTGGAATAGGTGACAGGCAACCCAGGAGGAGGCATAAAGGCAGCAGGATGCCTTGAAAGGTATCAGGAAAGCAGTTAGCCTATGCCAAAGGGCCCTGCTCTTGACATTAGGCACACCTTTCTCTGGCCCTCATCTTGCCCATCCAGAGTGGGCTTGGGTTGAGCATGAATGTACTGCTGACTGGGTCTTCATGTTCTCTCCTGCCTAGGGTGCTCATCGCCGCCACTTGGTGAGAAGAGGGCAGCAGCTCTGGCATGAAGTTCTACCCAGCAACCTGGCACCTGTCCCTGCCACCCAGGAGGCCCCCCATCCTGCCAGGGGCCCTAGGCCTCCCCGATGTGGTGTGCCTGATCCACCTGATGGGTTGAGTGGCCGAAACCGACAAAAGCGTTTTGTGCTGTCTGGTGGGCGCTGGGAGAAGACAGACCTCACCTACAGGTAGGGGCCAGAGCCAGGGAAGCAGGCTCTAGACCTCTATCTATGCATCTGTGTGTGAGCCTGCCACCCTCACACCTGCTATAGAGACAGAAGCCAGAGCTGAACCTTCTTGGTTAACAGGAGGGGTCTGTGTGACCACTAACCCAAGCCATCCATAGACAAACAACCCTGAACCCTACTTTGACATGAACACATTCCAGTGCCCTCCCCCAGCAAAGGGTCTGTGCTTTGTCAACAGTTGAAGCATCTCAACATACTTGGTTGCTCATTGGTATGCTGGGTACCAGCTTTCAGGCACTAAGCAGCCGCTATGGGGACACGGTAAGGACCAGGCCCTGGCAGCCCATAGTAAATGAGGTGGACATCACCCATCCTTCAAGGAACTGGATGTGTTAACCACATCCTTGTTCAGATCTACCACAACAAGTTGGGATGTGTGCAGGTGGAGACAGTGATGCGCTCAGGCAAGGTAAGTTCCCTGGGAAGTAGTGCAGAATTTGAGACTTACATGCACTGTAGGTTGAGATTCAGCCTGGGAAAGAAGGTGCATGAAGAGAGCAATGCATTGGAGCTGGGAGCCTCAGAAATGTCCTGAGTGGGGGAACTTAGGACTAAGGGGGGGGTCAAGAAGCCAAGATAGGTCCACAGTGAACCCCACAATTAGGTGAAGAAGGTGGGTCTCAGGGCTCCCAGTCCTGTGCTACATCGAATGTAGTCACCTGTGTGTGCAAACCCACAAAAGATGGATCTCTGTGGCAGAAGGACTAGTGTACTCCACCTAAGGCCCAGACCACACGTGGCCTGCACCCTTTGTGTGTAAACTCCCACTGAGCATCAAGGCAACTCTGGGCCCAGTAGCCATCAGGGACTGAATCTGTCCTGAGCAAGTCCAGATTCTTCTTGCTCACCCCCTCCCGCATCCCAGGATCCTCCGGTTCCCATGGCAGCTGGTACAGGAGCAGGTGCGGCAGACAGTGGCAGAGGCGCTGCAGGTATGGAGCAAGGTGACACCACTCACCTTCACAGAGGTGCAAGAGGGCCACGCTGACATCATGATTGATTTCACAAGGTAGATCAGCTGCCTGGGATCCCTCTGGGAACAAGCCCCAACAGTCAGCCGCCACTGACTCTTCCCCCAACCCACCTACAGGTACTGGCATGGGGACAACCTGCCGTTTGATGGGCCTGGGGGCATCCTGGCCCATGCCTTTTTCCCCAAGACCCACCGAGAAGGGGATGTCCACTTCGACTATGATGAGACCTGGACTATCGGGGACAACCAGGGTATGGGTTGAGGACCCATTACAAGGGTATCTGAACTGGGGTGGAGCTTGGGTGTCTTATGGTGGGGGATCGCTGAGTTCCTCCCTTTTCCAGGCACAGACCTCCTGCATGTGGCAGCCCATGAATTTGGTCATGTGCTTGGGCTGCAGCACACAACGGCAGCTAAGGCCCTTATGTCCCCTTTCTATACCTTCCGCTACCCGCTGAGCCTCAGCCCAGATGACCTCAGGGGCATCCAACACCTATATGGCAGGCCCCGGTCAGACCCCACTCCCAGGCCCTCAGCTTTGGGCCCCCAGGCAGGAGTGGACACCAACGAGATTGCACTGGTGGAGGTAAGGCCCAGGAGAGTGGTATGACAGAAGGTGGGGCCCACTGATCTCTGTTGCTCCAGTGTGGGTTCTTCCTGACCTGTCTCTCCCACCCCAGCCAGAAACCCCGCCAGATGCCTGTGAGGTCTCCTTTGACGCAGTCGCTACCATCCGAGGTGAGCTCTTCTTCTTCAAGGCGGGCTTTGTGTGGCGGCTGCGCAGAGGCCAGCTGCAGCCTGGCTACCCTGCACTGGCCTCTCGCCACTGGCAGGGACTGCCTAGTCCTGTGGATGCAGCCTTCGAGGATGCCCAGGGTCACATCTGGTTCTTCCAAGGTGAGTCAAGGGCTGGGAGGCAGACTTTTAGGAGCCAGGACCATCGTGGTCAAGGGTGGGGACAGACCGGGATGGGCAGGGGAAGAGGACACCAGGGGAAGAGAGCAGGACTCAGTCCTCTGGGCACAACTGGGGGGCTTTCAGAGGTGGCTAGAGATTGCAGTATAATGGATGTGGGCAGCACACTGGCACATTCAATCCTCAAAACCAACCTGTGAGACAGGTATAATTATTACCCTAGATGAGACCTCTGGAATTCAGACAGTGAAGCTACTCACCTGTGGCAACAAACAGCATGGATTTGCCCAAGTCTGGCTACCTGAAAGCCTGTGCTATTTACTTTTAACTAGCAGAGACAGGAGCCTGGAGCATTCCGGGTAGCAGGCACATCCTAAACAGGCACAGCCAGCACCTGCTGCAGCAGGAACAGGGCCCAGAGGGTCGTCAGCAGGCACTTATGGGCAGCCAAATGCCAGGAGATGAAACAGGAGCCCAGATGGCCTCTCTGCTGCTTAGAATAACCCTTGCTACACGGTAGCTCCCAGAGCACACGCCATTCTAGCTAATCCTCCCTGACTCCAACTTCCCTCTGGGTATTGCACCTAACGGCTATTAGTGCCCTATGTGTTTTACAGGTGAGGAAAGTAAGGCTGGGAAAATCGGTGGTGGTGGTGTGGCCAGGTGGGTCCATGGTGACTGGGTCCATCAATTGGGAAGTTCCATTGCCGCCTCCCTTTTCTACAGGTGCTCAGTACTGGGTGTATGATGGCGAGAAGCCAGTCTTGGGCCCTGCACCCCTCTCTGAGCTAGGCCTGCTGGAGTCTCAGGTCCATGCTACCTTGGTCTGGGGCCCTGAGAAGAACAAGATCTACTTCTTCCGAGGCAGAGACTACTGGCGCTTTCACCCCAGCACCCGCCGAGTGGACAGCCCTGCGCCCCGTCGGACCACCGACTGGCGAGGGGTGCCTTCTGAGATTGATGCTGCCTTCCAGGATGCTAATGGTGCTTGGTGGGGGGCACAGGGGTGTATAGGGGGGGTGGGAGGGTGGGTGGGAAGTGTGTGTGTGTGTGTGCTGCTGCCAATTAGTGCTTGTGGTGGGAGTGGGGTGCTACTGTTGCATCTCAGGCCTGGTCCTTACTGGGCACCCTCATACTCTGCTTAGGAGGTCTCGCTCTTTTCATCACAAGCCCTTTGTCCAGCACTCTCCCCCTCCTCCTCTCTCCTTATGCCAGGTCAGCTTGATACCTCTGTGCTGCAGACCAGGGTCCTGAGAGGTGGAAGGATTTGCACAGGTCCTTTGGTCATAGCTGGTAAAATAATAACCACTGAACACTGACAGGTGACAATGCTTTGGGCACAGTGCTAAGGTCCTTAACTGTCACACATTTTTTAGAACCGCTGTGATACAGCACCCAGTTTCCACAGGAGCAAATGGAGGTTATGTGATTAGGTCCCTAACTAGTGACACCCAGGCAGATAGAAGGTAGGGAGCCAGGTCTCCCACTCAGGTGGTCCCTGTCCCTAAACACTGAACCATCTGGCCTTTCAAAGTACTAGAGTAGCAACTTGAAGCTCAGCGCTTGTTCTCCAGTGGACCCCCCTTTTCTTTGTGCTATCCTTCACTGGGACTTGCTGGAAGAGTCGTTCTGTGGCGACTTTAGGCTCTGGGGTTCAGGCCATCTCTGTCACCAGTCTTGCCTGCAGATGTGCACCAGTAGCCTGGCTGGGGTGTATGAATAGAGTGGCAGGGATGAAGGGTCAGTGAGGGAGTAAAAATTCTTCTCCGGGAGGGTGAGTTGGGCTCTGAGGCTCCTGGCATCTATAATAGCTCTGAGCCTGTGGCAGACAAAAAGGCTCTCCCGACGGAAGGGCGCTTCTAACCCGGCTGCCCTAGGGCCTATGGGTATCAGTTAACTCAGAATGGAGAAAGACTATTGCCTTGTGCCTGTTCCTGGACACAGCCTACTGTGGGCCCCCATGTCCATCTGCCTAGGCCTGACCCTCCTCTTTACTTTAGGCTATGCCTACTTCCTGCGTGGCCGCCTCTACTGGAAGTTTGACCCTGTGAAGGTAAAGGCCCTGGAGGGCTTTCCTCGCCTCGTGGGCCCTGACTTCTTCAACTGTACTGAACCTGCCAACACTTTTCGCTAACAGCAGCTTGGATATCTTCAGGGCGCTTGACCTTGACATTGCCAGACCACTGACATCACTTATTTACTTGTGACCAGCTTGGTGGCTGTGGGCACCAGCACAGGATGACCTGTGTTTTCTCAGGGTGTTAGGGATTGGGTGTTGCCACTGTAACAACTGCAGGGAGGGCTACGTGGGTCACGGTCACCTGCCAGCACCTGTCTCAGACTGGGCAAGAAGGCTTTGGCGTTAAGCGTGAAGGTAGTCTTGGGCCCCAAACCTGTATAGGTCATGGTTAAACCCAGCTGCCCTTTGTCTCCATCCCTTCCCTCAAGAGTAGGATCTTGGCAGGGCTGGGGGAACTGGAACCCTAGCTCTATCCGTGTGGGTTTCTGCAGTGGGCTGGTCCTGGAGTTCCGACATCACATGGCCTTCTATCATTTCCTGAGAAGTCAGCTCTGAGTAGATGCTTGGAACTGGCTTTCAGTGAACCCCTGTGATCCTGGAGCTCTGCTTCCCATTTTGGTCCAGGCCAAAATGTCAAAAGTAAACTGGTGAGGAGAGGCTTCCTGTTGAAAACCTTGGGCCCTGGAGGGCCCAACATACCTCAATCCTGTCATGGGCCCTCCCTGTCCTCATCCCAGCACTGGGTCCTTCCTAAGCCATGTAAATGTATGTAAAGTGTGTACAAAGCCTTTTTTTTTTGTTTTTTTAACTGATGATTGTCATTAAACACAATCATTTTCTACTTGCTTGTCTGGAGTCTCTTTGTGACTGTAAGATGGGGATGAGGGAAAGAGCTGTGGGAGAAAGGTGGGAGGGATCAACTGTCCCAAAAGCTGGCACCGAAGTTAACAACCACGCGATACCCCTCCACTGCCAGTGGTCCTTGGGGCTGGGCACCGGACTCAATGGCCTTTATGTTCCATTTCTCTATCTTGTCTCATCGGACATCTGTAGCGTCTACATCACTGGTTCCCTGTTCTCCCATTTGCCCCAGATCATCCTCCACTAAGTGGCCATAGCCTAGCCCCTTTCCTAAAACACTTTTTTCCACTACTCTCAGGACACAGAACAAAACTCAGGGTTACTGCAGTCACATTCCTCCTAACTGATGACTTGAAATTGTCAGCATGGGCTATTTTTGACCTACTGCATCTTCCACCGCATAGGTTGCTTTGATACTTTTCACTAGAGTCAGTTCCCACTCCCAGATGTGAGCACACAGGACAGAGCTGTTTAATATCACTCAGCACAGCATGACTGAGCTTGAGGCAGAGAGCACGGAACTAAGGACTTAACAGAGAAGACTTCTCTCTCAACACTCTTCTGATGCATCAGCCAAACTCAAATGTCTGGGTCCTGGAATCCTGCCAACCTCTGCAGAGCCTTTACCCATGCCAACCCCCAATCAGTATTGTCATTCTGCCCACTCCCACAGCTGCAGGAACAGATGTGAAGTCCAGAACCGAAACATCTATTCTTAGGTGTTCTTTATCTATTTAGCTTCACTGCATTTTTTTTTTTCGGGTGGGGAAACTGAGGCACGGGTGACTCTGGTCTGCCTTCACTTTGTTCCTCTTCCACTGTTCTGGTCTCAGCTGTGAGACTGGAAAAGACACCACCGCGGTTACTACTTTTGTGCGAGAGTTTTCCATGGTACCTTAGCTTTGCCGGCAGCCTTATAAGAGATAAATGAGGTCGTGGTTCCTTTAAGGGACACTTGGCGGCGCGCCCCAGTCTTTTGTTGGGCGACGGCGGCGCGCGCGTAAGCGTCAACGCCCGCGCAAGCGCACTGAGGGCGGCCTGGTCGGCGGCGGCGGCTGCAGCTACACTGCCCGGCGGTGGCGTGAGCACCTGATCTGGCTCGCCTTTGCCTCCTGGCCCCGGTTCCCCTCGACTCCACGTGCTTCGGCCCTGCTTAAGTTCTTTCGCTTCCTCATATCCCGGCCCCGGCCGCCTGCCTCCATCGCCGCGATGATGATGATGGCGTTGAGCAAGACCTTCGGGCAGAAACCCGTCAAGTTCCAGCTGGAGGACGACGGCGAGTTCTACATGATCGGCTCTGAGGTAGCCCGCGGCGCGTCCTCGCCCTTCCCGGCCCCGTCCCCACGGGAGCCTCGGGGCGGGTACGCGCCGGGAAGCGCGTCTCCATTCATCGCAGCGGGAGCGCGCCTACCGCGCCGCCGGACTAGGCCTCTTGGGGGGCGTGGCCGGGAAGGCCCCGCCCCCGCGCCACCCAGATCTATGTTTATTTCCTCACCTACATCTATCTGTAGCTAGCACCCAGCCCTGGAGCTAGGATTTCTTGAGGGGCCGCTGGTTCCACGAGGAATTCGTGCTACTACAGCGAGCCGCAGAAAAATGTAATATTTAGCTTAGCCCCTGGGTCGCTCAGGGGTAAATTGGCATTTCACATTTACTCTTTCTGTGATCCTGAAATTGTGGGTTGGAAACTTGGAACTTGGGGGTGGGGGGAAGGGAATTGTTTCCAGTCGTGTTCCTTGCTTTTGAGGTGGGCAAGGTGGTGGTTTGACCTTTGGTTGCCAGTGAGGAAGCAGGTTGGGTGAAGGATGCTCTTGCTTTTTGGTGAATAAATCTCTCCGCCCCCACCTAGATCTTTCAGTAATTCAGGAGCGGTGGACTCTTTGGATATCTTGAACTGACTCTAAATTATTACCAGGGAAAAGACCTAAAAATTATAACCTTTAACTAGAAGTGGCAGCACTTTGTTGAATCAGTGGGTGGCTGACAACTAGTTCTTAAGAGGGAGTTTATACTAAGTATATTAAGGTTTCTCAGCTGCATACTAACTCATTTTGGTCTAAAGGCAGTGGCTAGCTAGAGTCAATTCCTTCTTTAACTTTTTAGAATTTGGGCATACAAATAGGATGTACACATACCAACCAGCAGAGTCTCACTTATGTAACAAGGTAAGTGCCAATCCTGGACAGCTAAAGCAGTTACAAAATGTCAAGGTTGCCTTTCCATATAGCAATTTTCAGTATCATACATCAACATTTCATGCCTATTTTTACAATTTGTGTGGTGTGCGTGTTTTTTCACAATTGATACAGCGTGAATGAATTAAACCTCACGTTTGTTCTGAGGCTTCCAGGGCACCCTTTGATTCTTGGTTTACTTTATTTGTATTAAGTTATAAGAACACTTGTTGTTAATAATGTTTCTCTTTTCACCAATTTATGAAACATAAGAGGGGAGTGTGCAATAATTTTTTCACATTATCACGTAAATGTTTCTTCATAGATAGCTGTGCTGGGGAAATAGAATCAGTGCCTGTCCATCTGCCTTTGCTCATATTGATTCTCATCAGTCAGTTAGATACAAAAGGCAATGGAATTTGCCTTTTGGCAAATGGAATTTCAGTATGTGATATTAGGTAGGTGCTTTAAAAATAACTACCTGACAGATGAATAGGGAAAGTTGTCAAATTTGACTTTGATGCTGAGTGAGTTGTACTTTTGAAAAGCTTTCATTTATTAGGTGGAGCAAATTGAGAATAAGCATACAGCTAGGTGGGAGGAATAGCAGACGGTCTGAATCCAGTTCTGCACTGTCTCTGTTACTTTTCTTATGTGCATACTGAGGTGTTTAGACATGGTCCCTAAGCTCATGTGTATGGCACACTTTAGTTTCTAGAAAGCTGACTGCAAAACCCTATTGAATGAGAACAATTTATCCTGAGACCAGTCTGTAGTGACTGAGTTGAGAGAGGAGTTTGCTATTCGAGACTGGCTTAAGAATTGTCAGATTTGGCCCTTGCTAGTGGTGCAGTGGTTTGAGCGCAGCATTATAAAGCTAGCTGCAGCCTCTTTGGCACAAGTTTGATCTCTGCCAGGGAAGTGACCCACATGGCGCTACAGACCCCTCCTGATCAGCCTGTTGCTCCCCTAAGCAGTGTACTTCATCAGTCTGCCTTTTCTAAAAGCTCCTTGCTCTGTCTCTGGTGAATCCTCTCACCACCCCTGCACCTCTGGCTTGTTATGCATAAGTAAAAAAATCTTCAAAAAAAAAAAAAAAAAAGAATTGGCAGATCTTTGGAGATCTGGGAAGGGTTTTCACATTTGAATGTTGTCAATTGACACCCAGTTGTTCTTGAGACAGCATTGAGTAGATGGCCCCTTCTCTTTGCAAAACAGGCACAGTATTTAGAGAGGGAGGCTCATCATACCAACACACCCAACACCTCCATGCCACATGTGTGGGATTGTCTGAGTAAAACACACAGTTGCAATCTGTGTGTCACTGATCCCATGCTGTAGGTATGGTAGCTGTTTTCACCAAGCCAGAGTCATAGAGTCTATATCTTCCTTTTAGTTTTGGAAAACTGGGTCCAGAGAAGGCAAAGGCTGGTTTAGAGAAGACCCAGGAAGGTGAGCCTGGTTTCCTAAGTTATGAAGGGGCCTTGGAAGAGGCTGTAGGCATCCTGGAGCCCTGCTCTCCTGATGAAGTAGTAATGGGGAGGCATTACTGTCACTGTCTTCTCAGAAACCTAATGGAAACTACTCTTGGATGTTAACAACACTGGAGTGGAATAATGCAGAGAAGTAGTCTGTGCTGTGTGGCGCTTGAGTGACTTGCTATGACCACTCTTCTCACATTGTTCAGCAGCTCGGATTATCCATTGTATAACTCTTTGATGCATGAAAAATGGAGAAACATTTTATTTAACAATTATACTGTACTGGGTAGGTAAATGGGAAAAATAAGAGAAGCAGTCCTTCATAAACTGAAGTTTAGAGTTGCTGAGTATTTAGCAGATGAGTAGAGACCTACAAAAGAGAAGTGATTTCCCCATCACAGAGCCAGAATCTGGAGGCCATTTCATTGGTATCTCCTGGAATTTGATTTTAAAATGTGACCATTTTTGAAAGGTCAGTGAGACAGCAGGATTTCTTTATAAAAACTTTAGCACTACATATTTTTCATTAAGGAAGTCAGACCTTGAGTATTTGGTACACATTAATGCTATATTTTGGAGCAGTTATGATTTATGCAGCAGACTGGTAATTGCTGATAAATGCTTTTTAAACTCTTTGGAAAATTCTTTGGTATTCCTGGTTGAGGTTTTGTTACTAAACAAAGCAACAGGGGCCATGGGGGAAATTACCCTGCATCTGTCTAAAATTAAAAGACCTTTTTGGTGTTTATTACCTCATAAAAATATCAAAGTCTTGTTCTTAAGATAAAAGAAAGTCAAAGAGGCCTTAAATTTCTGGAAAGTGCCAGAGATCCTTAGTCCACAGTCAGCCCCCACGAGCTTCTCAGTGAACTCTTGGGGGCCTATTTCACGTGTGTCTAGTCAGGCCTCATGATGCAGATGTTATTACCCATGCCTAGAGGGGCAGATGTGAGCCAGATGTGCACTGCTGTTGAACCCTTGATGTCAGCAGAATGTGATTTTTATGGAGACCCATTTGTTACTTGATCCATTGGAACCTCTGCACCAGGACCCTCCCCTTCCACCTAGAGACTTGACCCTCATAATGAGCCTTCTTGCTTTACTCATAGGTGGGAAACTACCTCCGTATGTTCCGAGGTTCTCTGTACAAGAGATACCCCTCACTCTGGAGGCGACTAGCCACTGTGGAGGAGAGGAAGAAAATAGTTGCATCGTCACATGGTAAAAAAACAAAACCTAACACTAAGGGTGCGTCTTCACGAGGGTTTGTAAACCTGTTTCAAAACCACTCGCTTATGTCATGAAGATAAAACGTTTTCACTCCAGAGTGTCTTCAGCAGCCCTGACCTTAGTATGAAAAGAGCAGCGTAGGGGCGGGGTTGTCCCCAGCATACCCTGTGACTGTAGTGGCCTTCAGTGGTCCTTTGTCAACAGGGCCTGGAGGCATGAAGGGGGTGGGGCAGGGACAGTGGCGGGTGCTATGAAGACATGGTGGTCTCAAAACGTTTTAGGAATGCTGTGATGCTCTGCCATCTGCCTTGGGCGTGTTGCCATAGTTACCCTTCATGCAACCCTAGTGGCGGGTGGTGACCCCAGCTCCCACTCCCCTCTGGGGCTTTCACTGCTTGTTTACCATAGCATATCCATCCCATAGCATTTCATTCTGGCTGCCAGTGTGCTAGAGTTCCTGTGCATGTCCCTGCTCCTTGTGCCTGAGGTGTGCCTGGGGCTTGCTCTTGTGAGCTGCCCAACATTAGAAACATTAGTGTGCTTCGGGCTGTGGCAGCTCTGTGTGGGGCGAGAAGATGCTTTTCACCTCTCTCAGAGCTCTATTGGCAGAGTCTTTGTAGATACTTGGATTTGGATGCAGTGTAACATTTGGCAGGAACAAAACTGCTTCTCACTTATTGGTGGTGCCTTGTAGAGAGCTGTCCCAGGCTTGGGTGCAGACCCATCCTGAAGCACTGTGCGTGTGTGCGTGTGCACTTATGTGCTCTCTGCACTCCTTTCTGTTTGATTGTGTCTTTAGGTGTTGCTGTGGTCTTGTTCATTGTGGGAAAAGTAGTGGTTCTTTTAATGCAGGAGCCGGAGCTTTTTATCCGCTGCTATAACAATTTAACTCACTTGCTTAAAAGAGTCTTTATCCTCCCTCTGCCTCCCCAGTGGAGCACCAGTCACTAACGCAGTGAGTTTCTAGCTTTGCTTTCTTCTCTGCAAGCCTAAATGAAGCCATGGTGACTCCCTGTGCTTTGGAGAAACCTTCCCCATAACCAATTTGTTTCTCTAGGAGAAGCCAGGCTGGATGCGCAGACAGGTAGCAGCTCTTGACCAAGGTTCCCTGGAAGAGCTATGGGTTGAGTTGCCTCAAATCTGTCTTGCTTTCCAGACAGCTTGTATTGACTGGCCCAGCGCCAGGAATTCAAGTTCGGTGTGCAGCAGCTCTTTCCAATTCTCTGGGCTCTTGTTTTAAAAGAAAAGTATTTCTCATCTTTCATTCCATCTCTTCACTTTGCTTCGTGTCATGGACTGCAGTGGTGTCAGACCTCTTCCCACTGGTGGTATTACTCTGGAGCCTTCCTTGTCCCCTGAGAAGCCTTGGGCCATGCTGCACTGTGGCTGCTGCTCCCCTACGCATCTGCTCTGTGCCTGGAGCCAGTGTCCCTGGGACAAATTAGTCCAAGTCAGTCCTAAGCGAGTGTTTACCTAGTAGGACCTCTAAATTAAGTGCTCAGCCCAGATTGCCTTTTGGAAGAGGCCAGCATTCAACAGTAGTAAGGTTGTCACCTGCTTTTCCCACCTCCTGCATGTGAGGACCTCGATGTGCTGCATCTGTTGGCTGCTGCTGTCGGCTGCCCCCCCAGCAGGGTGACGACAGCAGTATCTCTGGTTACAGATCATGGATACACAACCCTGGCTACCAGTGTCACTCTGTTAAAGGCTTCAGAGGTGGAAGAGATTCTGGACGGCAATGATGAGAAGTACAAGGCTGTGTCCATCAGCACGGAGCCCCCCACCTACCTCAGGTAAAGATGCCTTCTGGCCAGGTCACTTTACTCATATTCCAGACTGGTTAGGGTTAAATTGAACTGACCTATTTTCCTACATTTTATCTACAGTATTTACAGATCATCGTATCCAAGTTTCTACGTTTCTTCTGATTCTTTAAAATTTCTTAGGAGTATAAGCTAAGTCCTAGATTTTGGAGAATCATTAGGATTGCTTTAGAAGTAGGACTCATCTCTCAGAAAATGTAGTGACCTAGATGAACTTACAAAAGAAAACAAAAATAAGTTTTCCATGTATAAACCTTTAAAAGAATCTTGATGGTAACAAGTATTTTGGAAGTTGCTAATATTGTATCAAGAGCCTGTACATTCAGATATGGAAGAAAAACTTGCATACCCTAATAAAATAGGCAGAGGGTGGTCTACACTAGAAGGACAAGGAGGATACAGACATAGGCGCACCATGGAATTTTAAACAGCCAATGAAACAAAGCATGGCGACGCGCATGATAGGGCTGGCAGCGTCACATGTGCAGGGGCACTGGGCTTTTGTAAGCAGCCTAGTGTCATTTTGTTGCTGCTCTCTGGTCCTTAAATTTTACCCTAGGAGATTTGTCCCACAAAAATAATTTAATAATTTTGTTGTTAAGCCCAACAACAAAAAAAACCTACAGAGATATTCTTGGGAGCAGTGTCTCTGGTTACAGATCGTGGATACACAACCCTGGTTGTTACTGTTAAAAGCTTCAGGAGTGGCCTAGGTATCTACCCAAAAGACATAAAAACACTGATTGAAAAAGATACCTGCACCTCCATGTTTATTGCTGCTTTATTTACAATTGGAAAAACATGGAAGCAGCCCAAATGCTCAAAAGTAGATGACTGGATAAAAAAGATGTGGTACATATATACAATGGAATATTACTCAGCAACCCAAAAAGAGAAACACATGTCTTTTGCAGCAACTTGGATGGAGCTGGAAAAGATCATGCTTAGTGAGATAAGCCAGAAAGAGAAAGAAAAATACCGGATGGTTTCACTCATAGCAGGAGTATAATGGACCAGGCGAGAAAATAACAAAAATAATGAACAACCATATACCAGAGACATTTTGTGGGGGTGGAGTGGGGAATGGGATCAAAATTAAGTGCACGGGATTATGGTGATGGCACACGGGTGACTTGGTGATGAGAAACACGCGGGGATTACAATTGAGATGGGAAAAAAAAATGTACAAAATGATGTAAAAATAAACTTATAAAATTAAAAAAAGTTTCCCTCACTAAAAAAAAAAAAAAAAAGCTTCAGGCCTGGAAGAGATTCTGAATGGCAGTGTGAATAATGCCATGCTTCTCTCTAAGCTTTCTGTTACTTTGGCTGTTTAAAATTCCATGGTGCTTCCTATGTCCGTATCCTCCTTGTCCTTCTAGTGTAGGCCACCCTCTACCTATTTACTGGGGAATTCAAGTTTTTCTTACATATCTAAATGAATAGACTCTATACAACATTAGCAACTTCCAAAATATTTGTTACCATCAGTAGTCTTTTAAATTTTGTGAATAATAGCAGAAACTGTGGAACCCAGGCTTAGGGACAGGCTGAGAGTAAAGATGCAACCACCTGGCGGATTAAGGTGTAACTCCTATTTGTCATAATTAAGAACACTCTACAGCAACTCAAGGTACGAGTCACCTCGGGACATGTGCAGAAGACCTAAGTTATACTTTCAGCTCTCTAGAAAACATTCACAAAACCCCAGGATGCTAGAGGGGAAAAGGCTTATTGTTCAGAGTGATGTGGTTATGGAAAAATGATTGGTAGATCATTTTTGTAATCCCCCTGGATACCCCCCCAAAAGTGGCATGCATCCAGCCTGGCCAGTTGAATGTGTGCTCTGCAGATTCTTCATCATCCCCCCCTTCCCCCAGGCTAGGCTTTCCAAGGGAAGTGGCAGGAGGAAATTATGTACATATGGATGGGACTTTCAAGTCTGCACATGTCAGCAGGAGCCTTTTATGGAGTGGTAAACACTGACTTGATGTTAGTGTCATGTGAGAAACAGCTGAGGGAGTAGAATCCCATCACTCTAGAGGTCAGAACTAAGGGGGGGGGGGCACAAGTTCCAGGGAAGCCACTTTGATGAGCGCGGTGTTCAGGAAGCATCTTCTGACTGCCCAGTCAGCTCCATAGGAGCATAGGAGGACTGGGCCCTCTGTTCCCTGCCTTTGAACAAATTACACAGAGGGCGGAGGACCTACCCCTTCACATGCCCAAGCAGACCTCCTTGCAGTGGGTGGGAGATTGAATTAAGTGACTTGACTTTTCAGTACGGCTGTATCTTCACCCTTATGGTGGCAGTGACATGGCTTGCATTTTCTACTTGCTACTGGACAGCCCAGGCCTGGAAAGGAGAGAGATTGCTACTGAGAAAGGCTTAGACTTTGGCATGAAGGGGCGATGTCAGTACAGACTTCAGCAGGAGAACCGATCAGAAAAGAGTTGGTGGTCTAGACCAGAGGTTGCCAAATAGAGGCCCAGCAACTTCGGTATTGCCTGTGGAAATTGTGACGAATCCAGATTCCTGAGCTCTCTCCAGAGAGGAGGTCACTTGACCTAGATGGGACTCAGGAATTTTCTACTTTTTTTTTTTTTAAAAGATTTATTTATTTATTCATACAGAACTGGGGTACAGGCCAGAGATGTGGAGGGTGAGAGGATTCACCAGAGACAAAGGGGAGCAGAACAGGCAGATCGATGAAGTACACTGCTGAGAGGAGCAGCGGGCGGGTCAGGAGAGGTCTGCCACGCCATGTGGTCACCTCCGGGGCAGGCGGGAATTGAACTCATGCGGAAGTGGCTTCAGTTTCTCAGTGCTGTGCTTTAACCCGCTGCGCCACCAGGGAGGGCCAGGAATTTTCTACTTTTGACAATGAATTTTTTTAAGTAAATCTGCAGCCAGCATTAGAAACCATCAGCTTAGGAAAGTTTTGTCAGGTACCTGGGTCCTGCTGCTCCAGCAAGTTCTATGTCCACTGTTGTTCCTGGTCTGTGTAAAGTGAAGGTTGATTATAAAACCTCTACCCTCCAGCATACTCTGAAGAGAAGGGCAGCCAGCCATGCCTCTGACCCTCCTCAGAGGAACCTAAGTGGCGACACCATGTTTTCTGAACTGTGGCAAATAGTTACTACAGAAGACTTGGTACAGGTTTGGGGTTATAAAGGTGAGTCCTGCACACCTTCAGTAGGGAGGATGCCCACAGGTGATCAAGGGACACGAAGAGCAGAGTGGGAACAGGAGCACTCTAAGCTGTCAGATCCAATGTTAGAGCCTTAGTGTAAAGCAGCCTTGAGTATTTGCCTAGTGATGAAAGCACCCTGTAATTCAGTGTGAACAGTGATTCCTTTATGGGACATAAGTTACTTAAAGTTACTTTGAGTATCATTTTCTAGAAAGTTTTTCTTTCCAGAAAGTTTTTTCCAGTATATCTTCCTGCCTCTACTGGTCTGGAAACCTGGAGGTCATGGCACTGCTGATTAGATCTTAAACTGGCCCACACATTTAAAATAATAGTCTGATCCTGTCTCTCCCTGTTCTAAATCCCTGGAAGCTCTTAGCCTCCTGCCATGTATGGTCTTTTTCCCAGGGAGGGTGCTAGCTCTGTGTTTGTCCTACATCTTCAATAGTTGACCCCACAAGGTACCCATGTCTCCTCCTGATGCCTCCTCTGATCCTTCTAAAATGCCACGCTGTGCCTGCCATCCCTTGCAGTGAGCCCCAGTTGAGTGTTCAAGCTTCTCTTCCCTTGCAGAAGGGACAGTGCTCCCTGGAGCCATACCTGTCACTTACTGTCTTACCTTATGGCTCATACACTGGGTTGCAGGCTGCTTTCCCACATCTGGGCAACTCCTGTGTGCTTTCCCTAGCTCAGTTGCTTCTGATTGTTATCAGCAAGAGTCTGGGGAACAGACCCTTGCAGAGTCTAGGGTGCAGTAAGTCCTCAAAGGTTTCCTTTGAGTCCTCCTACTGGAAGCCCAGCAGGGCACATGGACATCCAGTGAGCTTGATGCTTGGTGGGCAGCATTGGGCTCCTAAACTGAATGTAGGGGGGCGCAATTTCCCATGTCTCTCCAGGGAACAGAAGGCAAAGAGGAACAGTCAGTGGGTGCCCACACTGCCCAACAGTTCCCACCATCTGGATGCTGTGCCTTGCTCCACGACCATCAACAGGAACCGCATGGGTCGGGACAAGAAGAGGACCTTCCCTCTCTGGTGAGCATGTTTCATTCTTTCCCTTGACTCCACTCAGCACTCCCAACAGTTTAGCTTTCTTCTTACTGAGAAAAACACTGCTTTGAGCTTCTCTTCCCTCACATGTGCCTCTTGCATGGAACTTTTCCCTTGGTGTCCACTTGTTTCAGCCCCTCTTCACTCTGTTTGCTTTAGTTTTAGGGCTCTCTTTCCCCAGCATCTCATGTAAGGTTCCTGGTAGCACAACACTCAGGCCTTTTCTCTGTCACTTTCAGATGCTATCTACATGATTACTGCTGCATTTGCAGTGGCTCAAATTATCACAAACTGGGTGGCTTAAAACCAATTTGTTTTTTTTTTTTTTTTAGGAAAGATTTATTAATTTATGCCTTCGAAAACTGGGGTGTAGGCCAGAGGTGCAGGGGGTGAAAGGATTCACCAGAGACAGAGTGGCAGAACAGGCAGATTAACTGAAATAGACTGCTGAGGGGAGCAGTGGACAAGATAGGAGCGGTCTGCTGTGCCATGTGGGTAAGCGCCCTGGCTGTCGATTGAACTCAAACCGAAGTGGCTGTGGCTAGCTTCATAGTGCTGTGCTTTAACCCATTGCACCGCCAGGGAGGGCCCTTGTAGGGACACTTCTGATATAATTAGGACCCACTGTATAGTCTCTCAGAATCTTAACTTATCACCTCTGTGAGGACCTTTTTTTGAGCGGGGGTCATTGCAAGTAACTATCACAGGTTCGAGGAATTAGGGATGTAGATAGCTTTTGTTTTGGGGGCTGGGCATTTTTCAAGCTCCCATCTTACTTATCTCTGTAAACTGGTCTCCCCAATAAATGATAATCTCTGGTATCCATGTTTTCTGGAGCATTTGTGTTAGTATGTGATGTGGTTTCTTCCCTTTTTTGTGTGTCATCTGTTCTCCATGCTCTCTGAGAGCTCTCAATCTCTACATATTCCCTGCAGATGCCCTTAAGTTTCCCCTGCTTTTCAACACCCTCCTCACTCATCCTCCTCTCACCCCACCCTGGTCTCTTCCCTCTTTACCTTCTAAAATTACACATATGACCATGTAATTACCTTGCTCAGAGTCCTCTGAGGCTCCTTCAGGGTGGAGGTAGATTCTTGAGAACTGTCTGCTCCGTAGCTTCCCGTTGTCCCCAGTCTGCCCCATCATCAGATCTGTCTTTAGCAGCTCCTCTGTTCTCCTACTCCTTGGCCTTGGCTCAAGTGTTTTCCCACAGCTTTCTGGGAAAGTCAACCGTTGAGGCTTAAATCTCCCTCCCTCCAGAGGTTTGTCGTGACTGGTGGTGCAGAGAGGGAGGTCCCACGTGTGTGGGGTCCATGGTGCTCCCAGCTGAATTTCCCGCCACTTCACTTCCAGCTTTGATGACCACGACCCAGCTGTGATCCACGAGAATGCATCTCAGCCTGAGGTGCTGGTCCCTATCCGGTTGGACATGGAAATTGATGGGCAGAAGCTGCGGGACGCCTTTACCTGGAACATGAATGGTATGTGGGCCAGCAACTCCTGGATCCTGGCTGTCAACATGACATTCAGAGGATTGTGGCATAGAGTTGGAAGATGGCGACTTTGAGTTTTAGTCCTGCTTCTGCCGCTGTTCCCTTAGGTTAGCATAGGAAACAGAGCCTTGGATTCCTTCACCATGGTGAGCACACGTGGCTCGGGGGCCTGGATGTAGGATGCCAGTCCACCAGCTTGGTAATGACCTTGATGTATCATCTCCCTGGCTCTAGATACCTTCCCCGCAGCCTTGTCTACCTCTCTGATGTTCTTTGATGGCACTGTACCTGCACACACCTGTTGTCCCTTTGGCTGGGAGACCTTCCCTTCCCCTTCCATTCTTCCCTTCCCTAAACTCACTCTTTAAATCTCAAATCAGATGCATACTTTTCCTACTCTTTCTGACTTCCGAAGTTTGTTACCAGGTCTGTTGGTAAATGTAAAAGGGAACAAAAATAGAAGGAGCATTTAGAATCTTACCCCATTTGGGAGGGAATACAGTTGTTTATTACTTTTTTCCTTGAATCTTTTAAAGTTCTTCCAAAATTGTTTATATTCAGATAAAAGAATCCAGCAAACATCATTTTAAAACGAATGCTCAGAATCAGCAAGGTCTTACTGCCCTAATAATAGATTCCATTTTTCATTTTCCTTTTTAATAACTTCCATATGCACACACACACAGTTGCAGTAATAGTACAGCTATAATTTTGTTTTTCCTCACTTATCAGTATCTTCCTGTTTACTTTGTCTTCTTAATTGTCGTAGAATTTTCTGTTGAGTTGAAGTACCTTAGTTTGCTCAGTCTCCCCCTGCTGATATTAAACATTTCCACAGCAGATAATTATTTGCTTACAACATTTTTCCCTCAGAAGGGATTTCCTCAGTGTGTTAATACCTGGTTGCCTTGTGCTTTCTTGGAAAGCTTAAGTTTCCACTGACCATCTTGTTGTGCCAGGCTTGAGTCTGAGTGTTTCTGTCCAAACCTGGGAACAGCAATGTGGGCCGGAATGCCTGTCCGCCAGGACCCACAGATCAGCTGATGAGAGGGATGTAAGCAAGGAGATGACATGGCAGTGGGTGGCAAGAGAGCAGGGTAGGTGAGGAGAGGCACTGTGGGGCTTATAGATGGGGTCAGGTGTAGTGTACTAGTAATGCCCCAGTTTGGGGACAGGATAGTTCACTGATGCCAGGCTACTGTCAGTACTGTGCATCACCCATCCACTATACTGTTTCCTGCCAGTCTCAGCTGGCCTTTGTTAGACTTATTGTTCATTCAGCTCTCTTCCTTTCTAGTCAATAATAAGGTCAAGAACTTGTTTTTTATTGCTGTTCTTCACATAGCACTTAGTTGGCTCAGTGTTGGAACTTCTTGTTTAAGTGAAACAGTACATGTATCATCTTGTTACTTTTCTTTGCACAACACCTAGAAAGCTTCTACTATTTATTCTGCACTATGTTCCAGAAGGGAGTTAAAAACTTACACACAGAAAATTGATACAAAAAGATAAAGCAAATGTAAAAATTCTGGCTAGGAAAACTGAATAAAGATGAAAATGAAACCAGGAGATAGAGAATTAGCCAGTCCCAAGTTTATAATCACAGTTCAGTGGGCATATACTGCTAGCTGGGCATGACTCTGAGCTTTTCAGAACAAGGCATAGAGAGGACATGATTTTTAGTGTGATCTAGATAAGCAGAATTACAAATAGGATTTAAGTCAGATAATCTTTTCCTCTGGCCCCCATGAAGAGGGCACTGTTACACTGTAATGAAGACCACTATGAGTTTCTCCAGTCTGTTCCTCATAGGAGTCCTCATATCACATACCACTAAATGTACCAATCCTTGAAGAACCAAAATAAATTTGTGAAGTCATCCTCAGCCCAAAGTGGTATTTAGCATGAGATTAAATGAGATTATTAGCAGGTGGTTAGGAGGCATTGCCCCTGTCCTGGTAATTGAAAGAGATTATTCAGAATTGCTGTTGATTTACAGTTTTTTTCCATCAGACATAATTTAAATTTGAAAGACTCTTAAAGGAGAGTATGAGTCTTTAATCACCAAGGGATTGGTCTTAGAAGTCTTCGGTAGCAATGAGTTCAGGTTATCTTCTTTGAGAAGGACTTAAAAGAGAATTTATCTGATGAAGAATGACTTCATCTACCTCAGCAGTCAGCCTGCTGGGGCAATGATAAAATTATCCAGACAGGATGAACTGCTGAATCAGCAAAAGGTATGGGGTCTGTTCCTGCACATAGATGAGGCTGATCAGGGCAGATGAGGCTGATCAGGGCCCTGAGGAGCTACACTTTGCAACATGCTGTAGGAAGCAGTTTTTAGAGATTTACATGCACATGCTTGCTTTGTACTCTTGCGAAAAACCCCAGTGACAAATTCAGGAAATTGAGCAGACTTTAACAGGATAAACCCTACAAAAATCCATGCCAAGATACAGCCATCCTATTAAGCTTTTGAAAACTAAACCCAAATAAAAAATCTTTTAGAGCAGCCAGAGAAAAAGTACATCTTACCTACTGGGGAAGACTGTTAGTGATAGATTGGTAGCTGATTTCTCATCAGAAATCATGGAAACCAAGGGAAGTGGCAGTGTTCTCCAAGCACTAAAGGAAAAAGGGCCAATCCAGAATCTTGCCCCAGTAAAAGTATCCTTCAGATATGAAGATGTCCTCAGATAAAGGAAAATTTCTTGTGAACCTAATCTAAAACAATGCCTAAAAGAAGAGAAATAATTAAAGAAGAAACTTTGAAACTCAAAAGGAATAATATAGACAAAAATATCATTAAATAGGTTTTCCTTCAGTTTTCTAAATTATGTTCAGTAGTAGAAACAAATTTTATAGCTCTCTATTATAGATCTAAATATGTAAAGGAAATACTTAGGACACTATTTTAAATGGGGCAGATAAGTTTTCATATTCCACTGTATTGGTAAAATTAAGCCAGGTATATTATACCTGGAGACTTATTTAAAAATGTTATGCACAGAGATGTACTCAAAAATATTATAGATAAGTCAAATGGAATACTAAAAAATGTTGAAGTAACCCAAAGTAAAGCAGGAAAAATGCCCCAAGAAACCAGAAATCAAAGATAAAATGACAAACTTAAGCCCCAGTATGTAATTGCCAGCAAAAAAAAAATTGGTTGGGAGAGTAGGTTCTTAAAACAATCCAGTGAAATGTTAGATAATGTAAAAGCCCCTATAATGATATAGGTAGACTGAAAGTAAAAAAAGATTTATCTTTATACATTAGTCCAGGAAAGCAGGAGTGGTAACAGTAGTATCCAGTAAAGCAGATTTAAGAGCAAAGAAATTTATCAGAGAGAGAGAGAGAGGGAAATTTGAATTGTAATAAGAGTCAGTCTACCAAGAAGACATAGCAGTCCAATGTTTACACATTAAAAAAGCTGGAAACCATGTGAAGTATAAACTGATGGAATTAAAAGAATAAACAAATCACATATTCTGCTCTCAACAACTGATAGAAAGCCTAGAACACTAGTGTGAGATTCCCTAAGAATCCAATACCTTAAGCCAACAGAATTTGATTGGCATATATAAATTACTCCACCTAATAGGCACAGTACACATTTTCAGTATCTATAGCAAGGACATACACCATGTAAACCTGAGCTCTTTCTGCCTGCTTATGTCTGTGCATTTTCTTCTCCTTTTTCCTGATAAACTGCCCTTTTTGGATACATTTTTAATAAAAACTGAGAAAAAGAAGAGTGAATGTTTGAAACCAAAGCAAGTAGGAGACATAATAAGGACTAAAATCAGTGAAGCCGAAAACTATGCAATAGAAAAAAATTAATGAAACACAGATGGTACTTTGAAATGGTCGCTAAATTGGGGTTCCTCTGGGGCCTGAGGTTAAGTCTCTTCACTATCACCTTGATGGCCCATTACTGTGGCCTGAGGTCGATCCCTGACCAGGAAGCTCTCCCATATATCAAGTAGCAGACCTCTTCTTTCTATCCCTTAACAATGTATTACAGTAAATCTGACTGCTCTGCTCCCCATTTTGTCTCTGGTGAATCCTCTTGCCCCACCCCAACCTGCTCCACCTCTGGCCTACACCTCAGCCCTTGTATGTATAAATGAATGAATCTTTAAAAAAAATACGAAAACAGGGCCCTCCCTGGTGGCGCAGTGGGCTAAAGCACTGTAGTAAGAAACTTAAGCCACTTCCGCATGAGTTCGATCCCCGCCTGCCCCAGAGGTGACCACATGGTGTGGCAGACCTCTCCTCACCCGCCCGCTGCTCCCTTCAGCAGTGTACTTCATCAATCTGCCTGTTCTGCTCCCCACTCTGTCTCTGGTGAATCCTCTCACCCTCCGCATCTCTGGCCTGTACCCCAGTTCTGTATGAATAAATAAATAAATCTTTAAAAACAAAAAACAAAAACAGGCCCTCCCTGGTGGTGCAGCAGGTTAAAGCACAGCACTAAGAAGCTACAAAGCCACTAAAGCATGAATTCTACCCCAGCTCCAGAGGTGATCCACATGGTGCAGCAGGCCTCTCCTGACTCATCTGCTGCTCCCCTCGGCAGTCAGTATATCTGCCTGTTCTGCTCCCTACTATGTCTCTGGTGAACCTCTCATCGCCCCTGTACCTCTGGCCTGTACCCCAATTCTGTATGCATAAATAAATAAATTTTGAAAAAAAAAAGATAACTAATCTAGCTCTTCTTCTGAGCTAGTGAAAAAATATGGGATCAATTGTCTATTAAGGAGACCTGATTTTTGCGACAGGATCATGCTGTGTCCTTATGAGGGAATTAATTCCTGACTTTTTCCTGTCTGTGGCTCATCACAGTGGTTTGTGGTTGGAGTTAAGGAAGAAAACATGGCTTCATGTACCTTCCTGTGTCATGCTGTTGTCTGGATGGTTGGAAAAAGTACTTGTGAGCTCAGACATGGTGCACATCCCACATACAACCTCCGTGCTTGTTACCTGTTGAGAATTTGTATTGACTACAGAATCAGAAGCTTAAGGAATGTTCTCTTTTTTCCAAAGATACATTTAAGCATACAAGAGCTGAAGTCTAGGCCAGAGGTGCAGGGAGTGAGGGGACTCATCAAGGACAGAGAAGGGAGCAGAACAGGCAGATAGACGAAGTACACTGCTGAGGGGAACAGTGGGTGAGAAATGAGAGGTCTGCTGTGCCATGTGGGTCACCTCCTTGGACAGGTCAGACAAGTGCTATAGTGGCTGCAGCTTGCTTCTTAGTGCTGAGACTTAACCACTTATGCCACCAGTGATGTCCAGAGGGAGTGTTCTTGAAGACCCACAGGAGCCTAGTATTATCTGAGGAATTTCTTCACTGTTGAGGAAGTGACAGACAGATGAATGCCTGCTTGATCACTTGAGACACTGGCCTCCAAGTGGCTAATTCTCAAGGGGAACTTAAATTAATTTGTTCAGGCTGCCATAACAAACTACCACAGCCAAGGAGACTTCAGCAACTGAAATTAGTTTCTTCCATTTTGGAGGCTCAGAAGTCTGAGATTAAGGTGTCAGCAGGATTGGTTTCTTCTGAGGCCTCTCTCCTTGGCTTGTAGAAGGCCTTCTCTGTGTCTTCAACATAGTTATCCCTGGTTACCTGTCCTCTTAACTCTTGACTCTCCTTCCAGACATCTCACTGGTTAGAACAACACTGGTGCAGTGCTCTGCCTGCGAGCGGAGTATGAGGGAGTACTTAGGATCTTGACCCCACTCCGAGGGTTGTAGAGGAGGAAGTGTGTGTGGAATGAATGCTGGAGGGGTCTAGTGTATGCTACTTCTTCCTCCATCACCTGGGGGCCAACCTCATGCCTCTGTCATCCTCATCTTTGATCAGGACATTTGGCAGAAGAAAAGGGATGGGGAAGGGAGGGATGCTGGACCGAGGTACAGTGGTCCTGCAGGCAGTCAGCATTCCCTTTTCTGTCTCCTAATTTTAGAGAAACTGATGACCCCTGAGATGTTTTCAGAAATTCTCTGTGATGACCTGGATTTGAATCCACTGACGTTTGTGCCAGCCATTGCCTCTGCCATCAGGCAGCAAATTGAATCCTATCCCACAGACAGTATCCTGGAAGACCAGTCAGACCAGCGTGTCATCATCAAGGTAGGTGGCTCCTTGTCCTGGGATGTGCTGAAGGGTACAATGAGGCCAGTGCAGGTGTCTTTGAGATCCTTTGCTGTGGGTAAAGTGGTCTTTACCCTTATGGAAAATGGTCTTTCTTTCCGGCAGTATGTGGCTCTGTTCACCCCAGGAAAAGCATCACGAGGATTTTTACAAGTTGGGTGTCACACTGCTATGGCAATGCCAAGCACTGTGCAGAATCCAAGCGGTATAAAGGAGATAAAGCCAGCAACAGGCAGAGTGGGTTGGGCAACAATAATGTGAGCACTTCCCTTGGGCTGAGCTGGGCAAAGTACAGCCTGTGCTTCTCACTCACTGTCCATCTGTAGACCTGGGCTAAGGTGCTGCCCTACCCACCTTGTTATAAGTAAAGAGGCGAAGTTATTTATCCAGACTAGAAGTGGTAGAGCTGTGCTTTGGTTCCCTGCTATAGTATGGTATAGGCTTTGATTTGCATTTTCCTATTGATTATTGATTTTGAGCCTCTTCATGTGCTTATTGACTGTGTGTGTGTGTGTGTGTGTGTGTGTAAAATATCTATTAAAATCTTTTGCCCATTTTTGAATTGGGATTTTGTTATCTTGTTGAGTTTTATGAGTTCTGTGTATACTGTGGATAACAGTTCCTTATCAGATGTGTAATTTATAAATTTTTTTTTCCATTCTCTGGTTTGCATTTTCATTCTAAAATTTTTATAGTTTTAGTTCTTATAGCTTTTATATATTTTGAATTAATTTTTGTTCAAGGTGTTATGTAAGGGTCCAACTTTATCCTTTTGAATGTAGATAGCAAATTTTCCTAGCAACATTTATTATTTTTATACCTATGGAGTTCTTTCTTTATGGTATTTTTTTTTATTAAAGATTTATTTTATTTACTTATACATACAAGAACTGGGATCCAGGCCAGAAGTTGGAGAGGTGGGAAGATTTAGCAGAGACAGAGTAGGGGGCAGAAGAGGCAGATCTACTGAAATACACTGCTGAGGAGAGCAGCAGGCGAGACAGGAGAGGTCTGCTGAGCCATGTGGGTTAACTACCTGGCCATGGATCAGACTCGTTCTGTAGTGACTGCACTTGCTGTTCTATAACATTGGTGTATGTTTCTGTCTTTATGTTAGTACCATACTGTTTTATTTCTGCCTTTGTAGTAGTTTTGAAATTAGGAAGTGTAAATTCTGTTCTTTTGAACTTTTGCTCTTTTTGAAGATTGTTTTCACTATTTGGATCCCTTAGATTTAATATGAAATTGTAGGGTGGATTTTTTTTTCCATTTCTGTGAAACATTACTGGGATTTTGGTTGGGATTATATTGAGTTGGTAGGTCTCTAATATTTAGTCTTCCAATTCATAAATGTGAAATGTTTTTCCATTTATTGATGCCATCTTAATTTCTTTCAGCAATGTTTTATAATTTTCATTTTACCTCCTTAAGTTTTAATTCCTAAATATTCTTTCTGATGCTGTTATAAATGAAATTGTTTTCTTAATTTTCTTTTCAGATGGTTCATTATTAGTAATTCAGAATGCACTTTTTTAAAAAAAAAAAAAAGATTTATTTATTTATTCATACAGAACTGGTGTACAGGCCAGAGATGTGGAGGGTGAGAGGATTCACCAGGGACAGAGTGGGGAGCAGAACAGGCAGATCGATGAAGCACACTGCTGAGGGGAGCAATGGGCGGGTCAGGAGAGGTCTGCCGCACCATGTGGATCTCCTCCACCTCACCATGTGGATCTCCTCCCATGTGGATCTCCTCCCGGGCAGGCGGTGTCAAACTCCTGTGGAAGTGGCTTAAGCTTCTTAGTGCTGTGCTTTAACCCACTGCGCCACCAGGGAGGGCCGCACCTTTTTTTTTTTTTTTAAGATTTTGTTTTTATTTATTTATGCATACAAGACCTGGGGTATAAGTCAGAAGTGCAGCGAGTGAGCAGATTCACCAGTGACAGAGTGGGGAGTAGAACAGGCAGATTTACTGAAATACACTGCTGAGGGAGCAGCAGGTGAGACAGAAGAGGTCTGCTGTATCATGTGGGTCAGCTCCCTGGCAGGGGATCAGACTTGTACAGTGGCTGCCCATAGTGTTATGGTGCTGAGACTTAACCCCTTGAGCCCCCAGGGAGGCCCATGCAGCTTATTTTTGTGTGTTGACTTTGTGTTCAGCTACTTTGCTAATATACTCCTTAATTAATTCTAACAGTTTTGGTGGAATTTGTAGAGTTTTATTTTATATATATATATATATAGGGTCATATTATTTGTGAACAGAGACAACTTGACTTTTTCCTTTCTAATTTGGATGCCATTCTATTTCTGTTCTTGCCTAATTGTTCTGGCTAGACATTGTAATACTTTGTGGAATTGAAGTGGAAAGAGAAGGCATCCTTTCTTAGTTCCTGATTTTAGGGGAAGTGCTGTCAGTCATACAGTGACTCAATTGACATGTATAGATTTTATGTTGGTATAGTTCTCTTCTTTTCCTACTTGAGTACTTTTATTGTGAAAAGGAACGGGATTTTACGGGATTTTGCTTCAATTGAGATGATCGTGTGGTTTTTGTCCTTCATTCTGCTAATGTGCATTAGTTACATTGATCAGTTTTCTTGTCAAACTATCCTTGCATTGCTGATTAAATTGTGGAGGTGTATAATCCTCTGAATATCTTGCTTAATTTGGTTTTCTTAGTATTTTGTTGAGGATTTTTGCAGCAGTGTTTGTAAGGAATTTTGGTCTTCTGTAGTTTTTCTTACAGTGTCTTTCGGCTTTGGTATTGGGGCAGTGTGTTACAAAGCATTCCCTCTTCACTTTTCTTTTTTTTTTTTCATGTCAGAAGGGTAATGTGCCAACATCATAACAAGGTTTAAGGGAGGCACATCTCACACAACAGCGTGAACACCCAGTCATCATGCTTATGAACTGGAAAAGGATCTCTTCACTTTTCTTACAGAATTTGAGATGGGTTAGTATTAGTGCTTTTTATGTGGTAGAATTCACAGTGAAACTGACAGGTTCAGACTTCTCTTTGTGGGAGGTTTTCAATTACTGATCAAATCTTATCAGTTAATTTGTTTAGGAGAACTACAACTTGCTTTCCATAACCCATTTTAGCTTCACTTTAAACCCTAACAGAAAAAAGGCACAAGCGAGAAAGAAGGAGGGTGTCATGGGAAAAATACCAGTGTGGCATATAGAGGTGTAAGTCTCACCTGTGCTTCACATGTACAGTCTCTTGACTCTGGAATATGTTCTGTAAGTCTCTGCTGCAACTGTCCTGTAACTGTGGTAAGGATGCAGCCTGAGGGAATTAACTACTGAAGTGGCTCCAAGAAACCAAGGTCAGGTCCTCATGAGTCTGACCAACTGGCTTCCCAGGCATTTTTCTCAGAATTGTTTGTTATGCTCATGGAGCTGTAGACAACTATACAGAGAGTTTTCAAACAGCTGAAAATCTGCCTGGGGTTGCTGTGTTCTTCCCAACCAGAAACTTTCTTGATCACTGGGCTACTGTCAGTCATGTGGCCCCTTCAGACTCTCCAAATCATCTGTAATTGCCACCTCAGGGATGGTGTTAGCTAATGGGAGACCATGCCCAGGCTGGGTGTTAGGTGTGAGTGTTCATAGGCACTGGGGTTAGACATAGCTGACGCACCTTGTTGCTATGAGACAGTGTTGCATTTCTCAGGACAAAAGTATTATGAGCAGTTACCTAGAAGCATTTCCCATCTTATAGGTAAGAAAACTGAAAGTCACACCCAATTTTCCTGTGTAACTGGGTCTACAGAAGAGCTGGGTACTTCTGTGTTGAATGATTTTCTTTGGTTTCTGGGCCATAGCAGAGAACAAAAACCTTTGGCATCTGAGGAGTGTCTACTCACAAAGCAGTGCCTTAGCTTGGAGCAGCCACTTACAGTATTGTTCTTGACCATCCTGGACCCAGAGCCTATCCCCAACACACCTGGCTTGGGTCAGCACTGCTCTGGTCAGCAGCTTAGTGCTGATGGAATACAAGCCATCACATGGCCTCTGCAAGGCTGGTCATTCCCTTTCTGGGGAGTGGGTGATACAGGTTAAGGCTGGGAAGGGAGGTAGGAACATGGCTCTGGTGCTGCATATCTGTTCTCAAGTTCTGACCCTGTTTAGTCTCTGAGTCCACTTACAGTCCAGTCACCTCTTACTGCTCCACTGCTGCCACCGCTACCAGGGTTTAGTGCATGAAACCTCTGTGGCAGTGTCTTTCCTTTGATCAAAACACCCTGTTTTGAGGGGACGGCTGGAAGACTCACCCCAGGAGCCAGGTGACTGGATCTCTGAGCTTATTGTTTCTCCCTAACATGCCGCCTTTCCTGGACCAGTCCTTCACTTTCTGCCTGTCCCCTCCTTTTTTTCCTTAGCCCTTGTACCATCTGATATACTACATATTTGCATATTTAACTTGCTGTATCTGTCTCCTTTCACTGTTAAGTCAACCACGAAGATGAGATTTTCTGTTTTACCTGCCATTGTACCCCCTTGGGCTTCTCCTTGCTAGGTATACATGTGTTTCTTTCAATAGGTGAAAGCATTAATCACCACTGGCAGGGGACAGGCAACCCATTCCACAGGGTGTGTGTCATCTGGTGGCCACATGGACTCCTGGTATCATGCCTGGTCCAGGACTGGGTATGGACCACTGGGTTCCTTGATCCTTTAAGTTCCGTTTGATGTGTTTCTGTGGATTGTCTGCTACTTCACATTGTGGTCCCACAATGCTGACATGGTTCACTCTACATTTGATTCTGGTTGGGTCAGCACTGCTCTGAATACGAGCCATCACATGGCCTCTGCAGGGTTCCCTTTCTGGGGAGTGGGTGATACAGGTTAAGGCTGGCTCTTCTGATTCCCCTCTGAGACCCTGTTTTCATTTCCTGGAGAAAGGAAAAGACCGAGGAAACTTGGCAGCAGTGAATAGAATGTGGGACACAAAGCTGAGGCTGGGCAGGGAACAAGGGAACTAGAACAGAGGTGAGGTGCCCTGGGGTCTTAGAGCCACTTTAGTGCCTTCCCCTGAGGGTGACTGCTGACCCAGAGCACTTGCGAAGCCCTGGGAAGTTTGTGGGCTCATTTTTCAGATAAGAAACTGCTGCCAGGGCAGGGTGCAGCCTTAGTTCTCAACTGGTAAGTACTGGGCAGTATTTACCCACGTTGGTAAGCATCCCTGCTGGGTCACCCCCAATTCTCAACCTCCTTGAGGCCTCCCTGGGTGGACATAATTCTGACTGCTCTAACTTAAATTCTTTGTTTCTTGTCCCAGCTGAATATCCATGTGGGAAACATCTCGCTGGTGGACCAGTTTGAGTGGGATATGTCAGAGAAGGAGAACTCACCAGAGAAGTTTGCCCTGAAGCTGTGCTCTGAGCTGGGGCTGGGAGGGGAGTTTGTCACCACCATTGCTTACAGCATTCGGGGACAGCTGAGCTGGCATCAGAAGACCTATGCCTTCAGGTAGGACCATTTGCTGATTAACAAATCCCTTACTCATTCCGCTGCAAATCTGTCCTTGGGAAGGATGTCTCTAAGTGTGTTTGATGCAGTGGGGATCTTCTGGAGCCTCACGGTACAGTATAGTCTAGCTACCAGTGGCTCCAGCCAGAACAGTGGCACACATCCTATAAACAGCGGCTCTCCTCTCTGTGCTGCTTCTAGACTGTCCTCTATTGGGGTTGCCCACCCACAGGGTTCTTCAACTGATGGACTTGCCTTCTTGTTCAAACAAAGGCTCTCCAGAGTCAGGGGCTCCTCCAGCAGCTTCTTTTTATTGTTGTATCTTATTGTGGTCATTCAGTTGAGACCTGTTGGTAAGCATCCCTGCTGGGTCACCCCCACACTAGGTGTGGAAAATAGAGCTGCAAAAGGCTGCCTGAGAAGGTGGAAGTGCAAACACTCTGTTCCAGTGTCGTGTGTGCTAAGGTGGGGGCTCCTTGAAAGACAGATAAGCTGTATCTGTTGGGGCTGCAGTGTGGGCCTGGGGCAGCGTGGCCTGGAGAAAGGAGCTGGGCAAGTGCTCACTGAGTGGTATCAAGGCTATTCTGTGACTTCTAAACCTGTCCTCTGAGCTGCTTTTTTTATTTAAAATATATTTTACTTACGCGTGCAAGAACTGGGTGTAGGCCAAAAGTGTGGGGGGTGAGAGGATTCATGAGAGACAGAGTGGGGAGCAGAAAAAGCAGATCTCCTGAAACACACTGCTGAGGGAGCACCGGGTGAGACAGGGGAGGTCTGCTGTGCCATGTGGGTCAGCTCTTTGGCCTGAGCTCATGTTGCAGTAAATTGGTAACACTGAGATTTAAACCCCTGCATGGCCAGGGAGGCCCCTTCTGAACTTCTTTTCTTTTCCTCATTGGGGTTGTACTCAGGGTGAGAGTGACATTGTGTACCTCTGCATCCAAACAGATGTTAGGTCTCTACTCTGTGCATTTGGTGGTCATTACTTAGGGACTACGGCTTACATGATGAGCAAGTGCAAGGGTTTTTTTGCAAAAACATGAATCCTAATGGAGCTTATTAGTAAGTTTTGTCTCAGCTGGTTCTCTCAGAAATCTCAAGAGATCTCTTGTGACTTCCTGTAACTGAGCAAGATAAAAGGAATGACTTTAAATATGTAGGGTGTGATGTTCCAGCTCTGGGGGGCTGAGTCCTACCTGACCTGTGCTCTGTGATCCTGGGCTAAGAGGGTGCATTTGTCACCTCTTTTAACGTCCAGCAGCTCTGACAGCCCAGTGGTTCTGCCTCCCAGATGAGATTCAAGCCCAGAGAGGAGGCTTCAGAAGCCAGGGAGGTGGTATTGGTGGGCACAGCAATATGTGTGGTTCACTATGCCTGAGTCAAGACGCCAGGCTTAAGACCACCCTGAGGTGGTGATACTGTGAAGGTTCTGAGAGTAACATAGACAATTACCTCACCCTGTGATGCTGATCTAGTCTGAACCGTTATTCAGATGGGCAAATATATGTGGGTGGGTGGGAGGCAAATATAAATATATGTGGGCAAATGTATGTGGCAAATGTGTTTCAGGCCTTCTTACTCCATGGTCCCAGTGCTGGGTGTGTAGGGTTCATGTCCTAGGGTCCACCCTCTGGAGGCCAGGATGTGGGTCCATCACTTCTGTAGCAGCCTGGGCCAGCCAGAAGGGAGTCTGGGCAGTGTCCAGAGGACTTTTTTTGGCATCAGGAGTGCTCCCGGTGTTTTCCCAGCTGACCAGACTTCATGACCTCCTCACATTGCGCCTAACCTATTGTGTGTACTGTTTGGCCTGGGCAGCCAATACTTGGGGAGAGCTGAGGAGGACAGGAAGGGGAACTTAGGGTCAGAGATTAGCTGCTCATCCAGGCCTGCTGCAGTGAGTAAGGGACTGGAACTTGTGTATTCTGTCCCTAACCAACATTCTTCTTACTGAATCATAATACCCCTTGGACCTACCCCCAAGGGAGAACACCAGCTCTTTCCTGCTCTTCAGGCTATGAGGACTGTGGCTTCTGCACGCCAGGGCCAGGTGCCCTTGGCAGTGAGCCCAAAGCTCTTAGCTTGTTGTCTACCATTCATAGCAACCACTAAGTTACGTGACTCCTTTTTATTTATTTACATTTTGCATAGAACTGGGGTGTGTGCCAGAGAATTGGGGAATGAGAGGATTCACCAGAAACAGAGGAGGGAGCAAGATAGGCGGATCTACAAAGTACACTGCTGAGGTGAGCAGCCAGTGAGATAGGAGAGGTCTGCTGCGCCATGTGGGTCAGCTTCTGGGCTGGGGATGGAACTCAGGCCATATCAGTGGTAGTGCTAAGACTTAACCCCTACACCACCCGGGAGGCCCTCATGTGACTCCTTAAAGAGGCCTTCATATTCTATACCTCCATCACCCCAGGTTGGAAACACTGAATTCCTATGAACCAGTCCTTTCCATCTCCCACAAATGGAGCCTAGCACCTGATTATGGTGCCCTCCTCAGGCGATGGTGACATTGGGTTGTAAGAAAAGCTGCTGCTCAACTGTTTGTGAGCAAGGGCAGGATGACCACAAGTTAAAGTGAAATGGGGCAGAAAACAGGCTGTTTTTCCTCAGCATTGGGTAGGCAGGCCTGATAACAAGTGGAGGCAGGAACAACTGTAAGTGGCACAAGGGAGTAACATGGACTCATGGCAAACTCCTAGAATACAGAGCTGGACCAGAGCCACATAGAGACATCCTAGAACCAGTGGAGTCAGAACAGAGTGGCATGAGACACGAGACTAGACTGGAGGAGGGGTCAAGCTGGGCTGGGCAGGGCACAGGTGTGAATGTGTCAGACAATACCTGTGTGTGTGTGTGTGCACGCGCACGTGCGTGCATTGGTGGCTTCCTGTGGAGGTTCCATCCGGCAGTCACTGGCACCTACTCTGGATCAGCCCCATGTCTAAGCTGATAACACAAAGAAACAGCACCCTGTCTAGCAGAGACCAGCAAGGGTGCGAGAGCTGTTGGTGCGGGGAAGGGGCAGTGGGTGTGGAACCCCTAGAGTATGTGGCCAGGGAGTATTGCTGACTGGAAGGGCTCCATTTGCTTACCAGCCAACTTTATGATTCAGGCAATCCAGAATCAAAGTGATGAAGTGATACCTCTGTCATTTTGGTTTGCATTTCCCTAATAACTATTGATAATGGTCAGCTTTTCATGAATGATTAGCCATTTGTATATCTTGGGGAAAAGGCTAAATTCCTTGGCTTACTTATTTATTTTTTAAAATTTTTTTAAAGATTTATTTATTCATCATACAGAACTGGGGTACAGGCCAGAGATGCGGAGGGTGAGAGGGTTCACCAGAGACAGACTGGGGAGCAGAACAGGGAGATCGACGAAGTACACTGCTGAGGGGAGCAGCGAGCGGGCGGGTCAGGAGAGGTCTGCCACGCCATGTGGTCACCTCCGGGGCAGGCGGGGATCGAACTCATGCAGAAGTGGCTTAACCTTCTTAGTGCTGTGCTTTAACCCGCTGCGCCACCAGGGAGGGGCCTCCTTGGCTTATTTTTAATTGGATGTTCATTGTCTTCATTATTGAGTTGTAAGAGTTCTCTATAGATTCTAAGGATATATAATTTGCAAATATTTTCTCATTTGTGGATTGCCTTGTCATTTTTGTGGTAGTGTCACTGAATTCAAAAGTTCAACATTTTATTTTTTTATTTATTTTACAAAAGTTCAAAATTTTAATGTAATTCAGTTTTGCCATTCTTTTTTCTTTCATTGCACGTGCTTTTAGTGTCATACCTAAGAAACCATTGCCTAATCCAGGGTCTCTTCCCAGCAGTGTTTGTGAAAAAGTGCTCTTTCTCCATTGAGTGACTTGGCATCCTTGTTGAAAGTCAGTTTGATTGTAAACAGTTACGTCATTATGTCTCTTTTTAGTTGTACACCCCAGGCAAGTCATTTCCCCTCATTGTCTCCTCCTCTCGCAATTAAACTGTTTATAGAGTAGGCATGGTAATGCTTCTCAGCTGGCCTCTTGTATGTATGAGGTCTAAAAATGGGATCACATTGCAGATGAGCCTCTAGATGCCCTGCTTTAGTCTGGGCCCCCTTGTCCCCTCAGCCAGGCTTTCCCCTCTCTGGGCTCTGGGTCCCACCTGGACACTGGAGTGGGAGGAATGTCCAGAGTCCCAGGGGGCCTGGAATTTGAGCAGAAAAATCCCCTGAGGGATAGGAGACTGGGTAGCTCTGCTTGCATGTCCCCCCACCCCCACCCCAAGCCCTAGTCAGGCCTGTTGGCTCTTGGCCCTTTCTTACATGGTTGATTCAAGCAGTTTCTATTTTAGAACAAACCCACTGGAGTGGAATCTTCCCAAAGCCAAAAGGAGGCAAATACCACTTACCAGCTCTTGTTTAAATTAGAGGAAAACATGTTTTGCTCCTCTCAGTGTGGGTTTGGCGCCTTTCATGTCTTCCTCCCAAGGAAGGGGGGAGCCCTGGAGGTGAGGAATGATGTTTGGGTCTGTGGTGAGGCAGTTCCTGGATTGCCAAACCGTCACACTGGCTGGAGAACAGCTGTCAGGAGCTGCTGAGGAGAAGTCTGCCCAGGGCGCCACAGGATGGTGGCTGGCACTGCCCAATCACTGCCCTAGTCATCAGTGTGAGTTTGGGCAGACTGCCCAGATGGAGTATAGAGAAAAGTGCCTGGACGGGTCAGTGGTGACAGTAGGAAGGTAAGGGGTTAGAATCATGTTCTGAGGCTTGTCTGCCAGACAAACATCAGCCCCAAAGGTGAGAGGCACAGGACTTTTTTGGTGGCTCCTCCCCTGAGCCTCCCGTCACATGTGCTTGGAAATGAAGACCCAGAGAGGTGGCTCCCTGGGCCTCCTGCCTGACCACACTCCCCTGCCCCCATCCTCCAGCTTTGATGCTTTTGTCCTGCTGCCCCCTCCTCCGCGCACCCCATGCCCAGCATTTTCTAAAAGGGTGCACAGGTGGCCTATGGATGGAGTCGGAGCAGGGGCTGAGGAACCCTGGGTGGTAGGGGCTGGTCAGGGGACTTGGGTTTCTGATCCAGCTCTGTTCCCTAAGCAAGTAAGTAGCTCAGCTCCCATGGGTAACTGCCGTCAGCAAGTTACATTCAGGAGCAGGCCAGCCCAGCAGGCCCCCTAGTGGCTTCAGGGACTCCTGGTGGACCTCTCCTTTTGTTCTGCTTTCATCTTCAACCTGTTTCCCTCACCACTGGCCCTGGTCTGGACACTGAATGGGCAAACAGGCATCTTCCCTATACCCCCAGCACTCCCAGCCAGGCTGAGTATCTCTAGTTCTGAGATGCTGAGATAGCTGGGTCAGCAGCACAGAGCCTGTTGAGAGTCTGCTTTGAAGAGAAGCCCATAGGACCCTGGGGGCAGCACTGTTGTTGCTGGGAGAAGTCCTGACAGAGGCTCTGCTTTGAGGTTTGAGTGACAGGAGCACCGCAGCCACTCTGCTCAGGAGTACTGCTCTGAGGAGCTGCCACTGAGACAGGGCCACCAACGATGCAGAAGCAGGAAAGGCTTCCTACCTTCCTGCCATGTCCCGGCTCTAGTGCTCTTTGCTGAGCACTGCCAACAGTGCTGCCAACTGGTGGGGGTGGACAGTGATTTCTGTGGACACTTTCAGCTACAACTTTTAAACCATCAGATGCTCTTTCCTGCCTCTGCACTACTCCCAACAGTGAGAACCCCCTGCCCACAGTGGAGATTGCCATCCGGAACACAGGCGATGCTGATCAGTGGTGTCCACTGCTAGAGACTCTGACAGACGCTGAGATGGAAAAGAAGATTCGAGACCAAGACAGGAATACGAGGTACTTGCCCTTGTTCCCCTGTAGGAGGCTCTGCCCTACCAGGCAGTGGTGGAGATATTACCTTTCCCTTGTAATTTCTAAGGGACCTCAGTAAAGAACACCCATCTAGCCCCCCAGGATGAATTTCCTTGTCAGGAACAAAAGTAAACCCTTTGGTCAAATTTGACCACAGTCCACACCTGGTTATACAGATCCCTGCAGAGGTGGGCAGGACCTGGGCAGGTAAGTGAGAGGATAGCCTCAGGGGGCCAGGCAGGGGACAGACCCAGGCTTTGGGAGTGGCTGGGAGCTGGCCTGTGGTCACCATCCTTTCCCCTCCTCTAGGCGTATGAGGCGTCTCGCCAACACTGCCCCGGCCTGGTAACCAGCCCATCAGCGCTTGGCTCCCACAGTGTGTTCAGAAGATGGAGCCGTCTCTCCTTCACCTGGCGAAGAGGGAGGCAAAGGGGCAGCCTGGGCAGTCCCGTGGAGCACAGGGCAGGGAGCCTACCTGGTGGCCCTCCCTCCAGGACACATTCCATTTACTGAGCTCCAGTCCCCAGAACCCCTATCTCTGGTTGAGAAGAAGCCTTGTCTGGGGTTGTGTTTTGTTTTTTATAGGAGCCCCAGACAGGGCTAGTAACACTTTTTAAATAAAAGGAACAGGTCTCGTTCCATTTCTTCAAAGTGGTGTATAAGATTAAGGATGGGAGGGAACAGGGTCCCTGAGCCGAGTGGTCGGTAGCCAAGCTGCTCTGCTAGGCCTCTCGCACTTCTCTAATTCAGGTGGACGGGAGTGTGGGGGATGGATGGGACTCAGGGGTCTACTCAGTTACCCCCACCCCTGCCAGGCTCCCGAGTCTGAGCATAATCCCTTCTTTTACTCAAGTACTCTATTTCCCCACCCAGGATTGATGCTTGGCTCATCTTTGTAGAAGGAAGAAATGGGAAACATGGTCAGGAGGCTCCATGGGCAAGGGCCAGCTGCTCTTTCAGTGAAAGCCCTTTCCACCCTTTGCTTGGAAGCAGCAACAGACTCCCACTACCCCTGGGTTTTGCCCCTGGCACCTTTGGCGGAGTATCAGGGCAGCTCTGTTCCCTGAGGGCCTGGCAGGGACCTTGTTAGACCTGGCTCCTGACCTGAGCCCCATATTGAGGGGCCAACTAGGATTTGGCTGAGGGCGCTCAACAAAGGAAGACTCTGGGCCCAGTCCTGGTGACCATAGGAACCACTGGATTCCATTGCCAAGGTGTTCAGCTGTCATAGCTGGTCAGAAATGAATCTTGCTTGCCTGACTTACACTAGGCAGGCTGGCTTCCTTAGGAAGAAACCTTCCTTTGAGTACTGCCAGCCCACACCACTGCAAAGCCTGCTGTTCTACAAGGTTTCACTACAAGATTAAGGTCAGACTTTGGTGAATTCTGTTGGTATCCATGAACTTCACAGCCTATGACTGGAAGAGTCCCATACTGAGTTCATCCAGAAATAAACTTGTCGTGCTGGTCTTGGGCAACTTGGATAGCTGTCCAGGTCTTCTGATGCCCACTTTACAGGAGAGAAAAGTGAACTGAAGGACCATACAAAATTTCCATGGTCCTCAGCAAAAAGTGAGTCTGTTACCTACCCAGCAGGGAAATGGGCAAAGATATGCTTGTTAACAGTAAGGGACAAGAGGGTGGCGACTGAGACATGGGCCTAAGGGTACCACAGGCTGAAGACCCCAGAATGAGCTCCCAGAAAATGGAGACAGACTGGTCCCAGACTTTGCCATGTAGATCCTGCTATTCTCCATGCTCACAGGAAGAGAAGCCCATCTGGGGACTGGGTGGTATTTGCCCAGGGCTCTATCTAGGCACTGACCAGGCTGGGATAAAAATCCCAAGTGTCTATCTCTTAGCTCACTGCATCTGCTGGGCAACCACAAGCAGGTGCTTGACTCTGAGCTTCTCATTCTGTTTCCTACCACTGGTCTGAGGACAAGGCCCCATTTGGCAGGAGTAACTCTGCCCAGGGTCAGCCGCAGTTCAAGAGCAGAGGGTAGGCAGGGCCCAATTGGATGTGGTGGCCTAGAGTGCCTGCCCAATTTGGTATGATATGCCAGCTGAACAGGAAGCCAGTACCATGTGTTAAGAGGCTGCAGGTCATTCTGTTTATTTGTGTGAGCGCTGGGTACAGGCCCAGCCTCCAGAACAGATTGCTCTGCTGCAAGATGGGCAGATACAAGAAGGGCTTGGGATGGAGGTCTGCCAGGAAAACATGCTTCGTGGCCTCGCCCTCACCCTGGGTGGGGTCATTGTGGCAGGGGTCCTGGCTGCTCCTCGGGGAGAGGCAGATAATTGGGATCTTCCTCTGGTGTATCCAGTAGCAGCTTCCTGTAGGGAGGGACCCACACTGAGTTAAAGCCCAGGTGGGTTCCCCATGAGGTAGGCAACCTTGTAAGATAGAGTAGGGGAATGATGTCATCTGCAGCACTCACAGAAAGCCAGGGGTCAGCAGCAGCCTCTTGCCTCCAGGCTGGTTGGGGAAGACATCCTCCAGGAAGTAGTAGATATGGCCCACAGCAATTCCTGTGGGAGAGCCATAGACTACTGAAGCCACCCACTTGGTCCAGAGCTTGAGACCAGCAAAGCGTACTCCGGGCCTCTGTGAATAGCCCTATAGGCCCAGCCAGGCCCAGAGTAAGCTTAAGCTCTGGACCATGAATGCCCAATGTCCTATAGAGACAGCCAGCCCAGGGCAGAGACAGGGTTGACACTGAAGACAAGCTTACAGGGCCTAGCAGTGGGCAAAACCTGAGTAAGGCCTGGGAACACTAGAAATGGGAGCCATGGCTAGAACCCTGACCCAGCCATTCCCAACCTGGTCAGGAACCACACAAGCATCAGCAGTCGTACCTAAATATGTGAAGCCTATAGGCCAGCCAGTTTATTTAAGAGACTGCAGACATCCTGGAAGGCAAAAAGCTGGCAGTACAGATGAACCAGTTCAGTACAGGTGGGAGGGGAGGACTCTTAACAAAGCAGCCAGCCTGGGGTAGCCTTTCCCCATAATCTCAGTTACAGACAGACTGGCTTGGGATGGGCTGGAGGGATAGACAGGCTCACCCAGCAGGTCCACGAGGATGGAGTTGCCCAGCAGCAGTGAGAAGCCCATGAGCGCCCAAGGCAGGAATGGTGCCTGAAGAGTGAGGAGGCCGAAGAGGTTGACCCTCACTTGAGGGCTGCGTCGACTCCATACGTACACCAGCATGGCTGTAAGGGCCTGACCCAGGAAGAACAGACTACCCAGGAGCCCCAGGCTACCCAGGAGCTGGGCCAGAGTCAAGGTGTTGGGAGGCCTTCCTCTTGGTGCAGGCCTCAGCTCCTTCCTAGGGTCCACTGACTTAACCAGACCTCACACTAACTTCTCATCTCATCACACTTGTATGAGCCCTTCCAATGAAGCCCAACCTGTAACTTCCAGCCCCAAAGTATCTTCCCTGCCTCCCCACCTCACCCCAGCCTCCAGCCACTGACTGTCACCATCCCAGGTTCTCCAGACTACTGGTGTGTAGGGTTCAGCACCCCTTTGGCTCTTTAGCCTATCACCTGGTGGTGTTTTGTGTGGTGGTACAGCACTGAAGATCTAGCCCAGGCCCTTGAAGCAAGCAAGATGCATGCCTGATGATGCCTTAGCTGGAGTGAACAGCTGTGTCCCTCCCAGGCCAAAGTGCTCACATCAGGGCCTAAGGCCCAACAAAGGCTGCAACCAGAGGTGATGTGTTTGTAGAGTCCAGGAAGGATACAGTCATAAGGATGCCTCCGAAGAGAAACATGAAGACGAAGTCAGCAGTCCGGCCACGGAAGGAACCCTCCTCCAGCATGCGACAATATCGGAATCTGTGGCTTTCGTATAGGAAATACCACCTGGCGGGGTCTTTACGTCTCCCTGCCCCTGACCCACTTCAGCCCAGCACGCCCGTCCCCCTCCCACTCAGGCCTGGGTCTGCGCTGCACAGGATACACGAAGAGCATGTTGAAGAAGAAGCTGAATCCCAGAGGCCCAAAAAAGAGGAAGTTGGTGACGAGCCTCCACACCTGCTGGGGGCGGGCGAGTGGGGTGGGCGATCAGGCGTGTGGAGGCGCGGGAACTGAACGGTCAGATACAGGGGGCAGGGTGGTCTCACCTGGAACTTCCGGAACACGAGGTGCGGGTTGAAGTAGAGCTGGAAGGGACTGAGAAGCTCCAGCTGCTGCGGAACGAGGGGAGGTTCAGGGGCTGCCCCGGGGGAAAAATCCATCTGTAACTATGACAATCGCTGAAACCATGGTGACGCCCCATCCTCCCGTCCTTCTTACCACTGCGGCGGTGGTAAGGACGCAGGCCGCGGTGTAGGCCCGTGTCACCACCGGCACCTGTAGGAACTCGGCTGCCAGCCCCCTCCACGCCATTGAACTTTTTCTGCCTGGTCGGTCAGACCCAGGACGTGTTCTTTAACTTCAAGTCCCGCCTTGCTCCCTCTGCCAATCCACAGCGGAGGTGGGCGGGGCCCTGTGCCTTATGACCAATAGGAAAAGGGAGCGGGAAGCCCGGCGTGGGATGGGAGGTGGGCGTGTTGAGTGCGGGCCAATGAGTAGGCCCCACGGGTGTGCACGTGGCGATTGTTGTGGTAGTCGTAGGGGCGGTGCGGAAGAATATGTAACCAATGGAGGCCTGTCTGCTTCGCGGCATTTTTAGAGGCGGGCCAATAGCGGAGACCCACGGTGCCACTGTGGGGGCGGGACTAAGGTTACTCCTTTGAGGGTACAGGTCTACGAGACCGGAAGCGCGTGGAGACGGAGGTGGGGCCGGGAGGTCCACCTTTGTGGGCCGGAGAGGTCCACCTTTGTGGGTCCGCGACCAGGATCTAGGTCTTCCTGAAAACCAGGGACAGCGCCTCCTAACCCACACAGCAAAGAGGGTGCTCAGCAGCCTGTCTAAACACTCCGGCCGCGAATGTCTGGGAGACCGTTTGAACATGACTTGGGACCTATCGGAAGAGAGGCAGGACTGGGGACTTGCAGCCCCTGGTGGGCGTGAGGGTGTCGCTGCAGACCGGAGCAAGTGAGCACACTGGAAAGGGCCTTACTTTGGTGAAAGAGAGTCCACTTATCCATTCGTTAAGTTAACCACTGCTGACTGCCCGCTGTGTCTTGTTCTGGATGCTGGGGATTCAACAGCCAACAAATGACTATCCCTTGCGATGCAGCGGAGGAGACAGGCACTCAGCAGGCCTGTTGTTACACTGATGGGAGTAACAGCAGGTGGGAGACTGTGTAGTGGGCCCATGGGGTGTACGCTAGATGGGTTGATACAGGGAGGTGATGCTTGTTATTTTTTAAGTCACTGCGGATGCTGTAAGGACCCAAAGGAATCAATTATGAGGAGCAAAAGGGGAGTTACTGGAAAGAACATTGGTAGCTTGGACAAGGTACAGCCTGAAGGATGAGCAGGAGTAGTATGTAGGTTTTTGGGTAGACTGGACAGCTGTGAAAGAGGAGTCAATGCTGACTTCCAGGCCTTTACTGAGATGGAAAATGCATGGGCAAAGGATGGATATTGTCTGGCCTCAATGAGTGCCATGTCTATATGACATGTTCATGGAGAAATCCAAGTGTGGTTTTGGGAGAGAACTTGGGCCAGTGGTCCGAACATGGGTATCAGTCATCAGTAGACCACTAGCATTTGTAGCCTTGAACTTGCATAAGGTGCCACACAGCAAGACTAGAGAGGGGGAAAAGGCCAGTGCTACGAAGCCTGATTTTCAGTGGCCAGAGAGAGAGAGAGACTAACCCAGCCAGGGAGAATAGAGAAGGTTGAAGGGGGTGGCCCAGAAGCTGAGCTAGATTTTGGGAGTAAGGGTTCAGGAGTAAGGTAGTGAGAAGTCCTGGGACACATGACCAGAGAAGGGGCTGTGGCACACAGCCATGCCAAGGTCGTTGGTGACTAGAATAGTGGTGGGTATGAAGGAATGGAGGTGCCAGATGGGTGTGCCTTTACTACAGGGAGTTCAGCCTTGGACAAAAGTGTGTGCAGAATGACAGGTGCTTTAATTAAGGGCCAAGAAAGTTCTGTCAAGTGAATCCCAAGATAATAAGAGTGCTGAGAAAGGTCTCCTACAAAACAGCCCCTCTCAGGTGGGGGTGAGGTGTGAGTGGTGTGAGGAGCCCCTCTCGGGTGGGGATGAGAGGGAAGGATGGGAGTAGTAAAGGGGCAAGGGGTGTGTGCATTTGGCTTAGGAATAATGAGAGGTCTGGTCTGCCTGATACAGAAGTCAGACAGACCCAGGTGCTGAGAGGTTGGGCAGAGGAAGCAGGCTTAGGAAGGCCTCCTTGGAGAGCCTCTGTTTCCAGTGAAGTAGGCCATATAGTCACATTTGGCAGAATAGACTCCAACCCCCCTGAACATGTGTACATATTAGAGGCAGCTGCATTTTCCTTTTGACAACACATGGTGCCCCACACAGGCCCTGCATACCCCTCCATTGGAGGCCTTTCCTGGGGGCTGTGAGCACATGGATTGGCCTCCACCATAGTTCCAGTCAGCACCTCCCAGGAGCAGCTGTGTTGGCCCTTCCTGTCTGGGTCATGGGGATATTTTTAGCACTGAATCCGGAACCTACTCAGCAGCAGCTGCTCAGGCCCCGTGTGCAACAGCAGTAAAGTGTCCAGGTGGCCTACGTCAGGCCTGTGTGGCGGAAGGAGCAACCAGGGCTGGCCTACTGACGTTGGTAGCCAAATCTGGATTTCCCAGCAATTAGTGGGCTTCTGGGAGGAATGGGAGTTAGAAGGCAAAGGATGAATATTAGGGTGGGGGTGAGTAGAGACAACATGAAAGCCAGGAGTTGTATGTGATGTATAAGGCTGCAAAGGGCTGGACCATCTGTCCCATGGGCAGTGGGGAGCTGTTTTGTAACCATCTAGGCGGGGTTGGTTTATTTTTGGTTCTCAAAGACACAAAGATAATTTGGGGACCTTCAATAGATTTCTCCAGGCAGCATAGTGTAGTAGAGACCATGAGAGAACACCTGAGAGCCCAGGAAGAGTAAAGATTTGCAGGGGCTCAGAGGCCTGTCAGCCTCTTAGCCCCCATCAGAGGCCTGTCAGCCTCTTAGCCCCCAGGCCTCCTTGCCTGCCCTGTACCTTTTTGTCTCATTACAAATGCTGTGGAAAGAGCATTAAAACCCTGAAAAGGCCGCTGAGAACTCCAGGACTCCTCCTTTACCCCTTTGCCTGAATCCATAGAGAACCTTGCCTGGTGCTACAGACATTGAATCTGGAACTCTGAAATAATCCAGCGCTACTTCTGCAGGTCCTTACATTTCTTAGCCATAGCTCCACCCCAAAATGCAATACTTTTAAACATTTCCCCTGGGGCTATCTATCCTCACCAGCAACCCCTCCAGGGGGCACTATGTATAACAGTCTGGCTTCAGCGGCCGGCCGGTTAAGTGTGAGCAGAAGAAGGTGGCCCAGGATGCAGTGACCAGCATGGGACAGAGAGTCAAGGAGGTGGGGGTGCAGTGGTGGGCATGTGACACAGAGTGAGCAGATCAAGGGGTGGAAGCTGTGCACTTCAGTGAGTACTTGGCAGTGGGCTGATGGCAGGAATCTGAAAGAGGTTCAGGTTTGGGAGGGAAATCACAGGCTGAGTTTTGGGTGCTGTGGGGACGTGACCGCCTTCCCTGTCTACCACACCCTGCTCCTCCCAGCTCCTTGCCCTCTGTGGCTCTTGTTGGACCTGCAACAGTGCAGTGCCATGATCTCTATCCCCATATCTGCTTCGAGGTCAGGCATAGGGACCTGGACCCCAGGGCTGGATCTGTAGCCACCAGGTCCATTTGCAGGCTCACAGGCCACAGGGGACTGACTGCTTAGGTGCCTACCTCCTCCCTCCAACCTGGGGTCTTCACCCTATTCCCCCTTTCACAGGCTCTTCAGGGAGAGAGCCTCTGTGCAGGAAGGAGTGCAGGTGTCAGTGCTTCAAACTCACCTAAGGCCCCTCCACCGCCTGCCCTGCCCTCCTAGACGTTCCACAGTTGTATTTTTAGAAGTCAACCATAAGGACATTCTTCTAGTTAAGATGGCTTTACATCTAGTCACAGTACAAATTGTCCAATCCTCAGATATCAAAGGGAGGCCAGGAGGCCAGCTGTTTGTAGTGTTGTTTTTAGTTTTTTTATTCCTTCCTCTTTTGACTCATTATATTGGAAATGAGACACAGAACTGTAGTGAATAAGGAGGGTGGCGAAGCAAAATTTTGAGGCTGTGTGCTTCAGGATCTTGCTCCTGGGATGTCCAGCTAGGCTGCCGCCCACAGGGTCCACCAGCCAAGGGTAGGGCCTATCTGCAAAAGCATGGGGACCATGAGGGGTGCCTGTACTTAGAAATCCAGCACCTATGGGAGGGCTTTAGACATACATAGGGGCCTGAGGGCACAGCCTGTGTGGCGGCCCTCATCGGGAGGAACTACCTGCTAGGAGTGTAGGAACCGCCTTGGTGTTGGCTGTAGCACCGGCAAGGCACAGCTGGTTCTCTATGACGCGACAGATGGGTAAAGAGAGTCCTGGAGGCTCAGCGGCTTTTTCAGGCTTTTAATCATCTTTCTACACCATTGGTAGTGAGGCAGCAGGTGCAGGGCAGGCAGGGGGGCGTGGAGGCCAGGGTTGGGGGTTCAGGAGACTGGCAGGCCTCCAAGCCCCAGCAAATGAATTGTTACTCTTTGTGGGCTCTCCAGTGCCCTCTCTTGGTCTCTTTGCTGACCCCTGCTGCTGCATCCTCTGCTCTCTGCTGAGCCTCTGTGACACTTATATGCTCAGTCTCTGGCTCAGGCGTGCCCACTCAGGCACGCGCACACCATGCTCCAGGTGCCCATCAGGTGCGCGTGTGAGACTACAGGTGACCATCTGATGCTAATGATCAGAGGGCAGAAAAACCCGATCACTTCCGTTTACCCTACCTTGGCCATAGCCAGGCCTGTGGCCAGGCTGCTGTGCTTGATGATAGGTTACTGCCCACCCTGGCAGTCTGGTGTCCAAGGTCAACAGGTCTCCTGACTTTTGCCCCAGTGCCCTCTGGGGAGTCACCTGATGCGGTGCCTCTGGGATGTGAAACCGCATCCCAGTGCAAGTAGAAAAACAGGAAAGCTGTGAGGAGGAGGGCCTTTGAGTAGCTCTGCACCTTAGAGTAATGAGTTGCCACTCTGCAGCACTTCCTCAAAACCAGGCTTAACAAGAGAGTAGGGCCCAGAGCTACTGAGCCCCTTGGTGGGCAAATGCTCAGTAGCCCCATCTGTGGTGGGGCCCACAGTTGCTAGACTGAGTTCGGGAGTGGGGTAGGGGGAAGCCAGGGCCTTTGAGCTGCAGCCTCAGCTCTGGCTCTAGGTGGGCAGACAGTCAGGCAGAGACAAGGTG